GAGTGGGGCTGAGATGGTGGCTGGTCCCTTCAGAGAGGGGACACACGGCAGGGGGATGCATGTGGCCAAGCCAGGCCAGGGGGAGTGACCGCCTTGCCCTGGAGGGTTGGAAGAAGCTGTGGGCTGCTCCTAGGGACCCAAAGTTTTTGGCCCGTGTGGCCATCTGCACAGTCCACGTGTCCTCCTGGCCACCTGCCTATCTGCTTTTCTGCCTGCCTCTCCCTGCCCGCCGGCCCGTCTGTAGGTCTGCCCAGCCACCTGTTTACCCGGTGCACCGACCGGGACCTCTCTGATCTCTGCATGTCTGTCACCTGCCTGCCTGGCTCGCATCCCCTCTATCTGCCTGCTGATTGTCCTGTCTTGAGGGGTCCTGTTGGCCTATGACTGACCTGCTGCTGCCCACCTGCCCACTTGCTGGCTGCCTCTCTGCCTTCTTGTCGGTGTGAGAATAGAGATTTGTTACCTTGGGAGGCACAGAGAGTGAGCCTAAGATGAACCACGGGAAAGATAGGTCTTGGTGGGAGGTCAGGGGTTGAGAGATCCGGAGTCTCTGGGTGGGGCCTCGGGGGCTGGCATATTCAGGGCCTAATGCCAAGCCGACTGCTCCCTTCCCCAGCAGCCAAGCTGGGGCTGGCCCGGCTGTTCTGTTCCTGACACTGGGGCCTCACACCACTGGGGGTGGGGGGCGGTCAGAGGTTGCCTAGGTCTTGGATGGGGAGAGAAAGGGACTCATTCAAGGGCTCCTACGACCAGCCCCTCCTCTAACTGCCTTCCCAGCACCCAGGACCGCTGCTGGGAGAGGGGCAGCCTGAGAGTTTACAAAATGAAGGATAGTAATGGCTACTGAGGAACCTTTTGGCACCTGACACTCTGCTAACTGCTGCGCTGCCCACCCCTCACAACCTCCCAGGAACCAGGTAGTTTGTGGGTGACTCCATTTTACAGTCGAGGAAAGTGGGGTTCAGAGAGGTGGAGTCATATATGTGCGGTCACATAAGAGGTGGGGCCTTAATTCGAACCTCAGAGCCCCGTTCCCAGCCATCTTCGAGGTCACGGTTCTCCCCGTCAGCCCCAGCGCTGCCGTGTCACGATCCTTCGTGCTGCCCCTTTTATGCTCCTGAGTGAAATTTATGGCTAATATACCCACCTCCACATCTAATTTAAAATGCACACACACGTATGTCATAATATAAAAGAAATAAAGGGTAACGGTACATATCTGAGACGTGATCAATTGTGGGGAAGGCGACAGCTCTGAGCGCAGATTAGCTCCTATTGGGATACTGTGGTGGCGGCAGTGTCTGCAGTGGTGACGAACTCGTGGTGAAATTCTGAACAACATAAAGTACAAACTCCTTCCACTCTGCACAGTAGTTGCATTCCTCGAGAATTCAGTGTATGTTATGTGTACACGAAGCCTTTGTGTGTTTATGTGTAAAGTGGAGTTAGATTCTTGGCTCTGGAGATTATAAACAGGTTTTCACCCATGTTGTGCAGGAGGTAGACTCTGCCTTCCTTGTAGGGTTGTCTGGAGTCCCTGGTCCCCACCCTCCCAATGCCAGCGACCCCCCCCCCCCCATTGTGACGATCAGTCCCCAAAACCCCCCAGCACCACATGGACACGCAGAGAAGATTCCTGCCTGTGGGAGCTCAACATTCGAGCAGGGGAGACATGCAATCACTAGTCAAATAGATGATAGAATGTTGGCTGTGCTGAGCACAATGAAGAATAAAGGAGGGTAAAGGGCTACAGACCAGGTCAATGTGGCCAGGAAGGCTTCTCTGAGGAGCTGACATTTAAAAAATATATATATTTTATTGATTTTTTTACAGAGAGGAAGGGAGAGGGTTAGAGAGTTAGAAACATCCATGAGAGAGAAACATCGATCAGCTGCCTCCTGCATACTCCCTACTGGGGATGTGCCTGCAACCCAGGTACATACCCTTGACCGGAATCGAACCTGGGACCCTTCAGTCCGCAGGCCGGCGCTCTCTCCACTGAGCCAAACCGGTTAGGGCAGGAGCTGACATTTTGAGCGGAGGGAAGTGAGGGAGGGAGCCATGCCAATCTTGGGGAAGAGCCCTCCAGAGAGAATAGCCAATGAAAGGCCTTGTGGGAGCTGTGCTTGGCTTGGTCAGAAGCAGCAAGAAGGCCCATGTGGCTGGGACAGCGGGTGAGGCGTGAGGGGCTGAGAGGTTACGGGGAGGCCAGGGTAGAGCCTGGTGTTGTAGAGCTTTCTAAGCTTCAGACAGGCCTCTGGATGTCCTCTGGGTGGCACGGGGCAGAGGCCATCAGAGGGGTGTGAGGAGAGGAGGGAAATAATCCGTTTAAAGCAGCGGTTCTCAACCTGTGGGTCTCGACCCCTTTGGCGGTCGAACGACCTTTTCACAGTGGTCGCCTAAGACCATCGTGCATATCAGATATTTACATTACGATTCATAACAGTAGCAACATGACAGTTATGAAGTAGCAACGAAAATAATTTTATGGTTGGGTCACAACATGAGGAACTGTATTTAAAGGGCCAGAAGGTTGAGAACCACTGGTTTAAAGGCTCACTGACTGCTGGGTGGCTGGGCTGCCACAGGGAACAGGGAGGACAGGAAGTGAGAGAAGGGGCTCAGCCCTCAGATGGGTGGTCACAGGGAGGCCATGGGGTGTGGGAGAGAGACCAGAGATCACAGCTGACTTGGCTGGGAGCCTGAACAACTCAGCTGTGGAGAGACGCCATCTCCTCACTTCCTTTCCCAGGGCAGCCGGCTGGCTTCTCTCTGAAACTGCTCCCCCTGAGGGCAGACCAGGCAGTGGCTACAACTGGCGAAGCTTCTCAGTTTGTTTAGGACAGTGGTCGGCAAACTGCAGCTCGCGAGCCACACGCGGCTCTTTGGCCCCTCGAGGGTGGCTCTTCCACAAAATACCGACTTCTGCGCATGGGCCCGTGCAGTTTCAATTGCATTGTACGTGCGCGCCTGCACGTGGTATTTTGTGGAAGAGCCACACTCAAGGGGCCAAAGAGCCACATATGGCTCGCGAGCCGCAGTTTGCCGACCACTGGTTTAGGAGCATAGGAGGCTGTTGACCACACAGTTCTGGCATGCGAGCTGCGTGCCCTTCTAGGTGCTGGGATACAAGAGTGAGTAAGACAAAAAAAAAAAAAAGAGTGAGCAAGACAATCCCTGCCCTAACCGGTTTGGCTCAGTGGATAGAGCGTCAGCCTGTAGACTCAAGGGTCCCAGGTTCGATTCCGGTCAAGGGCATGTACCTTGGTTGCGGGCACATCCCCAGTGGGGAGTGTGCAGGAGGCAGCTGATCGATGTTTCTCTCTCATCGATGTTTCTAACTCACTATCCCTCTCCCTTCCTCTCTGTAAAAAATCAATAAAATATATTTAAAAAACAAAAAAAGAAAAAAAAAAGACAATCCCTGCCCGCCCTAGCCGGTTTGGCTCAGTGGATAGAGCGTCAGCCTGCAGACTGAATGGTCCCAGGTTCGATTCCGGCCTAGGGAACATGCCCGGGTTGTGGGCTCAATCCCTGTAGGGGGCGTGCAGGAGGCAGCCGATCAATGACTCTTATCATTGATGTTTCTATCGCTCCCCTTTTATTTTTAAAATATATTTTATTGATTTTTTACAGAGAGGAAGGGAGAGAGAGTTAGAAACATCGATGGGAGAGAAACATCGACCAGCCGCCTCCTGCACATCCCCTACTGGGGATGTGCCCGCAACCCAGGTACATGCCCTTGACCGGAATCAAACCTGGGACCTTTCAGTCCGCAGGCCAACGCTCTATCCACTGAGCCAAACCGGTTTTGGCTATCTTTCCCTTTTCCTTCCTCTCTGAAATCAATAAAGAAATATATTAAAAAAAAAAAAAGTCCCTGCCCACATGCAGCCTGTCTGGGTATTGCTGAAGGTAAGCCTGATGCGTGAGGAGATACCAGGCACAGAACGGCGGCTGATCAGGTGGGGACGGGAAGGAGGCTGAAATGGAGCCAAGGCCAGGGCGGCAGCTGGCAGTGCTGGGCTGGGAGGGAGGTGCGGGCAGGGCAGCTCGGCAGGTAGATGTGGGCCAGATGAAGTGGGCAAAGTTCCATCCATGTGGGAGGGGACAGGAAGATGGGAGCCACGTGGATGCTGGGGTGGGTGTGGGCTGTGGGTGAAGGCACGGATGAGGCCTGGGGGTCTGCTCTGAAGTATCTGCAGGGCCTTCTCACATCTTGGAGAGGTACCGCCCCACCCCCACCCCCAGCTGTGTGGACATTGACTGGGAAGGAGCTTCTCCTGCAAGGACCTCTGCTCCTGTTGTGACCTGGCCTGTGTGGGTCCTGGACACAAAGGTAAGAGCCTGGGCCCAGTGGTGGCCTGGGGAGGGGCCTGACTATCTCTAGCTTCACCGTTCCAATGCTCAATCTGCAAAGTCTAAATTTAAGCAAAGGAAGGAAGGAAAGAAGAGAGGAAGGAAGCCCCTTGGCTTTTGAGGGGCGGGTGGGGGGGAGGAGCAGGGGGGTTCAGGAAAGGGCCTGGCCTGGCCCTTATTACCCCAGCTGCCCTGGATGGGCATGTGGGCACATGGGTGGTCTCTGTCTGGCTAAGTCCTCCCCAACCCAGATGGGATTTGGCAGGGAGAGAGGATCAGTACTCTGCACGCAGTAGCCACGCCTCCTTCCTGCACAGGTCCTGGCTGAGCCAGGCCAAGCAGGAAGCTTCCCCTTGGGCACTTTGTGGGAGGCTGGACCAGCCTGTCGGGAGAATGCTGGGCAGTTCTGGCCCTTCCCCCACTCAAGGCAGTGATGGCCTGTGGCCAGCTGGCTGCCCAGATGGCAGTCATGGTGGTGGGGGGCGGGAGGGGGGTGCCTATCCAGTGCACCTGGTGGCAGAACCAAGAGCTGCAGGAATCCTGCCCCACTGCTGGGATGGAGGGAGAACGGCTGGCGGCTGGTGGCTGGCGGGAGACAGACGCAGGTGAGGAGGGCAAGAAGAGCAGACGGCACAGCCGCGGTGGCTCCAGATCAGGAAGTTTTATTGCTGACATGCAGGAAGAGTCCCCATGTAGTACAAAAATATGTCTTTATACAAATTTTTTTGTGACTTTTTCTGTTTTGTTTTCTTTACAATTGGACTTCTCTCAGCGTGTGACAGTCAGTGAGGGCAGACCCAACCTCCTCTTGTCTGCTTTGCTAGCAATGTCATCAGACACGTGGCTGACCTCTGTCTGATAGGGCTTCGTAGACCTGGAGGATATTGCTTTGAAGAGGAGGAGAAAGACCACACGTGGCCAGCAGCCCGGAGGGTCTGGCCGGCTGCTGGGCAAGGGCACAGCTGAGCCCTCACAGGAGGGAGTCACAGGGGCGGGAGCCCTGGGCCAGACTGCATTTCTACTCCCTTAGGAGACTTCTTTTTGAAATAAATATAGAAAGAGGGCATCCCCGACCCCACAGCAGGACACCCTGGCTCTCAGCAGCGACGGCTGAGAGAGCAGAGCTTGGTGCCCATGGGGAGTAAGTGCTAGGCTCAGGCGGGCTCCCTCAGACCCACTGAGGCAGAGGCACGAGATGCCCAAGTGCTGGGAGAGGGGTGTGGGGAGGAAGGGGCATGGGTGGCCCTGCTACTGCTGGCAAGAGGTGGCCCCATTTTTTCCAGATGGGGAAACTGAGGCACGAGGAGGTTTGGGAACTTGCCCAAGTCACTCACAGTGAGTCAGCTTTTGGGGAGAGGGCAGCTCACACTGGGAAACAAGGTCACACAGACCTTGGTCATCTTCCCATTGGGGAGCAAGGACAGGCAGGCAGGGCCCAAGGGCCAGGGCTGCCTGGAGGGGACACTTGGCCTTTCCAAGGGGGATGGTGGGGAGGCAGGGGAAGGTCTTGCTTGGCACTGGGCAAGGGGCCAAGTCCAGTGAGGGAGCATGGGACGGGGGCATTCTGGTGAGAACAGCATTTCTGGCAAGACGGGCATCCACTTCAAAATCTCGGCTCAAAAAGGGCAGCAGGGCTGTTCTCAAGCCAGACGGGGCCCCCAGTTCCCACAATTCTTTCCAAGAGCCCAGGCTGGAGTCTGCTGGGCGACACCATGTCTGTTACGAGGCAAGGGCAGGGGGGCGATGTCCCACCATTCTCTGAACAGAGGGGTGTGGGGAGCAAGAGGGCATACCAGCAGGGCACCTGTCCGCGGACAGCCCTGCGCACCCTCCTCAGCCCGCCCCAGGCACCGCTTTCACATCTATGTTGGCATTACCTCGGTACCGCTGAGGTGGAGAAGGAAACCAGGGTTAATGCGAGTGTGCAGCACCTCAGAGAAGCTACTGAGATGGGAGAAAGAGAACCAAGTCGAGAAAGGCCTCCCCATCACCAGAAGCGAGGAGGGACTGGTGGGCTGGAGGTGGAGAGGGGCCGGCAAGAAGGGGCTTCTGAGCCTAGGGGTGAGGAGGGCCCATCTGCGAGCTGTGGACGCCCTGCTGTCTAGCCAGGCTGGGGCAGGGAGTGACCATGGGCCGAGCCACCTGATGATGGGAGAGAAGTTGGTTTCAGTATAAAAATAAATATATTTGAATTCCACTTAAGATGAGGTGAAGGTTTTCCAAGCTTGGACTGAGGGGCCTGGGGTCAGAGGGGAGGGAGGAAAAGTGACTGTGGGAGGGGTCAGGGAGAGCGGTGGGGAGTGGGCATTCGTTTGGAGAGCCAGCAGTGAGCTGCACTTCCAGCTTATTGGACTGTGGGGAGCAGCTGCCGGGGGCCGGCGGCTGGGGGGCTCCCTCCTCCTCCCTCTCACTCAGTCCAGAGACAGCATGGTTAGAGAGACAGAGGTAGATTAAAACGTCATGATTAAAAGCAGATTAGTTATCTAGGCTTCTCAGATTAAAAAACCAAACAATCAAGCAATCATTCCAAAAGGTAGCTTTGTGGTACCTCTGCTGACCCCATGTGTGACCTGGGCTGTCCCTGGCGGCCCCGTGCCAGCCCGGAGAGAGTCCAGCACTCCAGGGCCCTGACCCAAAGCAGGGCATTCCTTGGCTGGGGGCCGGGAAGAGGCGTCGGGCGATGGTGCCCGTCGGGTGGTGCCGGTGCCCCAGCCCGAGGCGGCTATTTCCGCAGACAGCGCTGTGCCAGGATGGCTGCGTCCAAGGGGTTCATGGGCTGCGCGTCGTGGCCCAGCCGGCGCACCAGCGGTGCGCTGCCGAACTGCCGCTTGGGCACCCAGCTCCGGGCCTCGTGGATGGAGCTCTTCTCCTCGGCCAGCAGCAGCTGCTGCCGCATGTAGTTCTCAAACTCGTACTGGGAGCACTCCTCTGTCACCTTCGCCTGAGAGGCAGAGGGAGAGAGAGGAAGAGAGAGGGAGAGAGAGAGAGGAGAGAGACAGAGAGAGGAGTGGGGGCGATGGACAGAGAAGAGCAGGGAGTGAGTGTTAGATCGCCTGGCTCCAGAGGCCCGTCCCCAGGCCCCACACCCTGGGACCCCATCCAGCCGAGGCAGAGTGTGTGGGCCCCTGAAGCCCCTCAGCCGACCTGGACCTCGCCTTGCTGGCCACCCTGGGTGTCACTCCAACTGAAGCAGACCTGGGATCTGAGCCAGATTCCCCTTCCTAACTCACTCACTGACTCTGACATTTTGGCTTCCTCGCCTGCGAAGTGGACAGTAATCTCCCCTCAGAGAGGTTGTCAAGCACCGGGGAGGGGCCGGTGCAGGGCGAGTGTTAAAAAAGAGGCCTGGGGCTGGCCGGTGTGGTCCAGTGGCTAGAGCATCAGCCTGTGCACTGAAGGGTCGCGGGTCTGATTTCTGGTCAAGGGCACATACCTTGGTTGTAGGTATGATCCCCAGCCCTGGTCTAGGCACATGCAGGAGGCAACCAATCAGTGTGTCTCTCTCATATCAATGTTTCTCTCCCCCTCCTTCTCCCTTCCACTCTCACTAACAAATATCCTCAGTGAGGATTAACAAAAAAAGAGGCCTGGGGCAGCCGAGCTTCTTTATCCTGCCCCACAGCTGGAGTGGCCCAGGCAGACAGGACAGACTGAGCGGAAGGTGCCGATGTTGATCAGCTGAGGGGGAAGCAGGGCGATGGAATCAACTGGGGTTCAAGGCTCAGCTCCACTACTTCCCAGCTGTGTGGCTCTGGGAAACCTATTTTACCTCTGAACCTCAGTTCCCACTTGTGAAACGCAAACGCGGATAAGAGCACAGGCCACACAGGACTGAACGAGACGTGCCATGTGGGCATTCCTCATGTGCCACTGGTGATCACTCTTAGCTGCTGAACATCCTGGGGCCGGTGGGAGCTGGGGGTAGCCTGGGACTCTCTTCCCAGAGCCAGGAGGCTCTGCTGTGGCCCCAGGCTGGTGCCTCCTGGTGCTCCCTGCCCAGTACATCCCTCCCAAGGGCCTGGCCAACCTCTGTCCTCAAGGGGGCGCCCTAAGATCACCCAGAAGCTGCCTGTGCCCAGGTCTCTGCCCTCACTCTGGGCCCAGCACTTTCTCCAGTGTGGGGAACAGAGGAAGAGAGAAAACGGGGAGAAAATGAATCATTTGGAAAATGAAAAGCAGGAAGGCTGAGAGAACCATGTGAGTCAGAGGGGCAGAGAAATGTGACTGTTTAAAGGGCCAGCCCATGGCAGGAAGAGGAAGCTGAGGGAGGGCCGGGCTGGGCCGCTGTGGGCCTCCACCTCAGCTGCCCTCTCTCAGGCCACAGAACTGCCAACTGAGCTGGACAAGGCAGGCCCCAGGCAGCACAGGGCGAGGACTTAGGTCTCCCTTTCCCACTCTAAGAGCTGGGGGCAAAGCTGAGAAGGCCCTGTGGCCTGCTGGGAGCTGCCACCTTCTGTCCCTGCCCAGCCTGCCTCTCTTGGAGGCTGGTCCCCCAGGACTTGGGTAGCAACCTGTCTGCCTTTCCCAACTCACCTCCTGGGAGCTGTCCGCATTGCTCATTTGGTCGTCGATGTCAGGGACCACCTGCAGAGGCCCGCTCAGAGATGACAGGGACTGCCTGCAGGGGAGGAGTCACGTCACACGTCAGCTCGGCTCCAAGCAGCCCCCAGCCCCTGCTCCCCGGTCCTCGCTGCTCTAAGACTTGGTTGAAGTCAAAAGACCTGGGTCCCAACTCAGCCCTTTCCTGATGTGATTAACTGCTTCTCCAAACCTCAGTTTTCTCATCCAATAATAGGGGACAATTTCTACCTCATAGGCTGTGTGTGGTAAGAACTCAGTGAGATAATGCCCTCCATCACTGGCATCAATGGCAGGCAGGAGGTGCTAGAGCCAAGCGCTGCCAGGACCCTCCCAATCTTGCCCCTGGGGAAAATCTGGAAATTGGACTCTGCTTGGCAGAGAAACAGGCCCAACCTCAGGGTTCTTTCCTGGCAGGATGGGCAGGACCCAGCCCTGCACCAGTCCACTCACCACGAAGCAATGATGGCACTGAGGGCTTCCAGGACGTCGGCGGCAGCCAGGCGCTGTTGGGGGTCGAGGACCAGCAGTTTCCGGATGAGACACACGGTGCTCTCAGAAACCCGCCCGTCCCTGATGGGGGAGGGGGAGAAGGGGAGGCTCAGGTCGGGTGGGCTGGCCTGGGTCTCGGACCCAGGACTCCAAACCTCATTGTGTTGTCTCTGCCCCATGAGCCTCCCTCCCCTCCCCAGTGACCCGGACTCACTCAGGGATGGTGTACTCGGCGGCCTTGATCTTCCGGAAGAGCTCCTGGGGGATGCTGTCGTAGAAGGGGAACTGGCCGTAAAGCATGGTGAACAGCACCACGCCCAGTGCCCACATGTCACTCGGCTTGCCCCGGTACGGCCGGCCTATGGGCACACAGATGCACCCACTTAGCACAAACCCCGGAAAGAGACAGCCCTGGGCCTCCCTCCGCTTACCAGCTACCTGCTGAAGTCTATCCAGGGACCCCTCTACCTTACCACCCTCACTTCTGGTCATCCTGCTCCCCTTCCTCCCAGAGTAAGCTCTTACCCGGTCCTCCCCCCTCCCCGCCGCCTCTTCAGGCAGATTTAGCTCCTGCTCTGGAGACCCAGCTTGGCAGGGCGATACCCCACCTCGGGCATGCCTCCTGCCACTTCCTCAAGGCACCAGCCGGGCTGCCAGCTCTCGGCCCAGCTCCTAGCAGAGCGGCTCACAGAGCAGGTGGCCAATGTGCATGTGGAACAAAGCTGTGCGGCTCAGGACAAGTCAGCCACACCCATCACGGTTCCCTCAGCGCACTGAGCACAACCTGTAAGGACCCCTTTCTTTGTCTGTTCCCCCGTCTCCCCATGGGAAGGCAAGTTTTCACATGCAGGGGCCTCTGCTTCGCTCCCCGCCGAGCCCTGCACCCAGCACCCAGCATGGGCTCTCACTGGCGAAGGGAATGACTGTCCAGTTGGGTCAACTCTCGGTGCTAACACTGGAAGAAACACTTCTATCTCATTAAACCTCTAGCACAGCTCTGTGAGTTAGATATTTTCTGTTTGTCCTCAGAGTAAAATGAGGCCCAGGGATGTGATCTGCCCAAGGTCACATGGCTGATGGAAAAGCCCTGCTTCTCCCATTGCCAGGGCAATCTGTCCATCAGCCCTCAACAGCAGAGCTCCTCCCACACGCAGCCGCTGCCTGAACTGCTCCATACCTAGGATGTGGGAACAACGCCAGCTCTCAAAACGCCCCTGCCGCCAGTGCCTGGGACACCAGCAGGCTCCGCAGCACCAGTTTCCCCGGACACAACTCAGCCCTCCCATGTGGAGGAGACACTGCTGGGCACCAGGCAGTGCCGGGACAACCTCCGCTGGGTCCCCAAGCCTCCTGGGTGGCTGGAGATGCCTTAGGGGTGGAGGACACTGGTTCCCAAGGGCCCCCCTGGGCCCACTGAAGGTCAAGGGGATGGGACTGTGCACCGAGGCGCTGTCAGACCTCAGCCTGCGCTTCAAAAGGTACCACGGACCCCCTTCACCACGCCTGTGACTTCTTCTCTAAGTGGCGGAGAGAGACGTCGACCCCATGAGGCAGCTGAGGCTGGTGCAGCAGGCAGTTGTGTGCAGATGAGCCTCTGCCCAGCTCTCTTGCCCTGAGGTAGCGCGGCCCCACCCTTTTCCAACCCCGGATGCTGACCTTTGCTCCCAGGCCCTGCTCCACCACGTGGGAAACCAACAGAGCCCACCGGGCCACTGCCTTAGCTCTGTGCCGCTCCACAGAGGGTACTGCCTCTCCTGCAGCAGCGGGAAGGTGGTCCCCGCCAAGATGCCCCAGGTGGAGCCTCAGCCAAGGAGGGTGGGGAACCGCGCCAGCCCGAGCTGCCCTGGACTGAGATGACAGCCGGGTGCCGCCTCTAGCAGACAAGCTCTGACCAGCAGGCGACCTTTCCCTGAGCTTTGGCTTCTGGGGAAACACTAACCTTCAAGCTTTCCTTTAGTAATGATGATGCCAGCTAATGTTTGTTGAGCCAGACACGAAGTTAAGGCCTCATCTAATCCCACCGGGACCCAATGCAGTAGGTGTTATTAGCTTCCCAACTTTACAGATGAGAAAGTTGAGGTCCAGAGAGGTCAGTAACTCTCCCAAGGTCCCCATTATTAACCAGACCATAAACTCGACGAGGGCAAGGCCATGACTGCCTTCACCCAGCTCCACGCCCGAGGCCCGGGCTGTGCTTGGCACACAGAACAAATGGAGCAGCAGACCTGCAACCAGAACCCACATGCAGGCTTGTACGTAAGCATCACGCTTCATCCTCTGAACCAGGGGTCCTCAAACTACGGCCCGCGGGCCACATGCAAATACAAATATTGTATTCATTGCCATTTTGTTTTTTTACTTCAAAATAAGATATGTGCAGTGTGCATAGGAATTTGTTCATAGTTTTTTTTAAAACTATAGTCCGGCCCTCCAACGGTCTGAGGGACAGTGAACTGGCCCTCTGTTTAAAAAGTTTGAGGACCCCTGCGTCGAACAATGTGGGAGGCAGGGCCGTTTCCGTGAGGAGACTGAGGCTCACAGAGGGGGGTGAAGGCCAAATCACACAGCTGGTTAATTGGCAATGCCAGTGTCAGAGCCCGGGCCCTGGTCTCCCAGTCTGGGTCTCTTTCTGGTGCAGTGGGTGTCTCTGTTTCATCCTGCAAAATGGGGATGAGTCTGGAAGGACCAGAGAGAGAAGCCATGGGCAGCAGCCAGTGACTGCTACAATTGGACTTTTGAGGGGGCGGGCGGGGGGAAGGAGCGGGGCCATTCAGGAAAGGGCCTGGCCTGGCCCTTATTACCCCAGCTGCCCTGGATGGGCATGTGGGCACATGGAGGCCACTGTAGCCTGGCATTGCTAAGGACAGTCCTGACCAGAGAGCCCTGCCACCCCCAGGCCTGCACACCCCACAGACCTGGTTGTTCCTCCTGGCTCCTTTCACCTACACAGATGCTTTGGGGATTCTCATGGAGGGTGTCCAGCTGGACAGGGGTTGCCCAGAGAGTCCTCCAGCAGAGGCCGAAGGGATTCCAAACCCCCCAGGTCTGGAGAGTGGCACCACTACCCTCTACAGGCGGGTAGCCCTGGCATTCCAGCAGAAGCCTGGGCTGGGGAGGCCTCCAAGGGGACTACAGATGCTTATGGTAAATGACAGCAGCCGGCTTCCCAGGAAGGCAAGGATGGCTCTGCGACTGTGAGGAGGGGATGCCTGTGTGTGCTGGTGGTTACACACCCGGGGACAACCCTGGGCCTTCTTCACATGGAATAGACAGCAGCTGATATAAACCCTTGGTCCTCTACGGGGTCAGGATGAGAGACCCAATTTGGTAAAGAATGAGCGGGAAAAGGAAAGAAAACCTCCGGTGAAACAGGAGCCTGGGCTTGAGCAGCCTCCGGGTTTACTATTAGCTATGACTTTGGACAAGAGATTTAATCTCTCGGAGCCTCGGTTTTCTCATTGGCAAAAAAGGAATACCAGCAGAATGAGTGAGTGAATGAGAACGAAGGGAGTGATGTCTTTGAAATGCAAATCGCATCCTGGCACCCTCAGTGAAGACCTGCTCAATGGCTTCCTTTTGCATTTGGAATAAAGGATGACGTTTGTTTCTCAGTAAGGCCTCCATCAGCCCTTTCATGGTCTGGCCCCTGCCCACCTCTTTGGCCGTGAGCCAGGCTCATTTTCTGAGCAGCAACCACAGGGCCTTCAGTCGGTTCTCCTCCAATGTGCTGTGCTGCCTCCACCTAGTCACACTCCCCATGATTCCCACTGATCCCTCCCACCTCAGTTCAAATGTCACTTCCTTGGGGAAGTCCGTCAAGTGCCTTATTTACATGCACAGAAATCTTCCCCCTGCCAAGCACTAATCTCAGAGAGTAACTCAATGTGCACTGGTGTGGCCACTGCTGTCTTCCTCCTCCATGAGGCCCCCAGGACAGTACTGGCTGAAGCCACCAGGAAGCCCACAGAGAGGGTTTGCGGAAGGAGCGAACTGCTCTGGCACCGGCTGTGTGCTGGTCTGGGCCCACTGCCCCTGCCCGCACCTACACCTACCGCTGAGCACGGCCGTGTGCCGGCCTGGGCCCACTGCCCGTGCCGGCACCTACACCTATCGCTGAGCACGGCCGTGTGCCGGCCTGGGCCCACTGCCCCTGCCCGCACCTACACCTACCGCTGAGCACGGCCGTGTGCCGGCCTGGGCCCACTGCCCGTGCCCGCACCTACACCTACCGCTGAGCACGGCCGTGTGCCGGCCTGGGCCCACTGCGCGTGCCCACACCTACACCTATCGCTGAGCACGGCCGTGTGCCGGCATGGGCCCACTGCCCATGCCCGCACCTACTGCTGAGCACGGCCGTGTGCTGGTCTGGGCCCACTGCCCCTGCCCGCACCTACACCTACCGCTGAGCACGGCCGTGTGCCGGCCTGGGCCCACTGCCCGTGCCCGCACCTACCGCTGAGCACGGCCGTGTGCCGGCCTGGGCCCACTGCCCGTGCACCTACCGCTGAGCACGTCGGGACTGATGTAGGCGGGGCTGCCCCTCTGGTCCTTCAGCAGGTCCCCCTCGCTCACGAGGTGCTTCCCGAGGCAGAAGTTGGTGATGGTTATCCGATGTGTCCTGGGGGTGGGAAGCAGAGAGTGAACAGACCTTGGTCCCCATGAACCCCTGCTGCCCTCACCTCCTGCCCACACCCTCTGCTCCCCAGGCCTCCTGCCTTCCTGGGGCCGTGTGGAGCGTGCTGTGGTGCTGACTCTGGCCACTTACTCTTGGTTGCCACCTGCTGAGCCTTCCAGGCGGGGATCGGACTCATTCTGACCAGAGTGTTTAAGGGGAGCTCCCCTGAACCTGCTTCCCTAGCTGAGTCTAGGGGGCGGGGGCAGCTCAGGGCTCGGAACAATTTGCAGGGAGTCCCCAGACAACCTCACATCACGTCTAGGTTGGGAGTGATCAGGGATAGTTCAACTCCCGCATTTCCACACGAGGAAATGCCCGCAGAGCGCTGGCGCCCACCCTTAGGTGCCACTTTTGTCTCCGTCTGCTGAGTCCTCTGGCCACCCCATGTCATTATCAACCCGTACCACTGACCGTCTGAAAAGCGAACGCGTACTGAGCACTTACTGGCCTCAGTGCCTGGTGATGACTGTTTTCATTCAACCCTTACACGCCTAGGAGGGATTTCAAAGACAATTCAACTAAGACACAGAGAAGTGCAGGGACTTGTCCAGGGTCACACAGCTAGTGTGCAGTGAACAGGATCCATACTGGGTCTGTCTGACCCTAGGGCCTGCCCTGTAGACTAACCCAGGTGCCCACTGTGTCCTGGGCAGTCCCCAACTCTCTCCTTCCCCGCCTTGCCCTTCAGATTCTCCCCTGACCTAGAAAGCCATGGATCCCCCATTGGAGTCGTGGCTGAGAGCAGCTCTGGGCTCTGATCCTTTCTGGGAGTTTCACCATGTAAGCAAAATGGCCCAGAGAGGACACCTCACATCCCGTGGGGGCGGGGTTAGGGGGGCAGTCCCCTTCCAAGAGGCCAGGGAAGGCTTCTTTGCCCCACTGGGGACAGCCAGTGAGGAAGGGTGCTTCTCTGCCCACAGACGAGCAGGGGCTACTGCCGGCTCTGCTGGCAGCCGCTGGCAGGGAAGCAGCACAAGGGGCCGCCTCTTGAGGATGGAGGAGAGTCGGCTCAGAGTGCAGGTCGTGTGGGGCTGAGGGCGGAATTCCCCAGAAGCTGCGTCCAAAATGCTCCCGAGCCTTTCAGCTCTCCGGGGAATTCTGCTGGCACAGGGCTTGGTGCAAAACAAAGGCCAGTCTGTGCTCTGCATTCCGAATGGAAATGTCGACTCTCATCTCCACTCAGGCCCGCCTGTCAGATGCCACAGAAGTCGAACTGGTGGCCCTAGGGCAGCTGGAGCCTGAGAGAGCAGGCAAAGGGTCCAGGCAGGGATCACTGCACGTCAAGCCGTGGATGGCTCCCGCTCTGAACCGCCATGTCACTGTCCTGAACGTGAGACTGCCCAGCCTCTCAAGCTCATGGTCCCCAGAGCAGAGGCACTGGGTTTCCTCCCTGCTCAGAGACGGCTTGGCAGCTGCAGAGCCTCCTGCAGGTGTTCTCTGAGGCTGGGGACAGTGTGGGCGGACAGCGCAGTGGGCAGTTTGGTGGGCTTGGGAGTCAGATCCTGGGTTCCGTTCCTGGCTTTGCCACTCCCTGGTTGTGTGGTCCTGGGCATGCTATTTAGTATCTTGCTAAACCTCAATTTCCTCGTCTGTGAAACAGGGAAAATATTAGCACCTAACTCCCAGGACTGTGTTAGGGTTTAACAAGATAAGAACTTAATCTCAGGGCAAGCACTGGGCCCAGGGCCTGGCGAACAGTCAGATTACTAACTGCTAGCTCAGATTAGCATGTCATCCCCCGACAGTGGGCAGAAGCTGCCAAAGGAGAACCCTGGGAAAGGCACCATGTCTGAGGGGCAGGAGAGAGGTGCCACTTTGTGTCCACAGGCCCTGGAGCCCACGTGCCTCTGCCAGCCCTCTACTAGTAAGTGTGAGGCGGGGGGGGGGGGGGGGGGGTGGCTGGAGGAAAAGGCGCCAGAGACTCTGCAGGGTGGGCAGCAGGGTCCACTTGGCTTTCACTGCTCTGCCCGCTGAGGACCCTGGAGCCTCTCCCACAGGAAACCACATGGTCAGCTCCAAGACCTCCTGAAGCTTGGCGACGCTCCCTGCCGGGCCACCACCGCCCAAGTTGGCTGGGTGGTGCACAGATCCCTGGGAGTCCAGACCCCCCAGGCTCGTCAGTCCTGGCAGAAGGGGCGAGGGAAGTGAGGGATGAAGGGAGCTCTGTGTCAGCAGGATCCGCTCTGAGTGAGTCACTCTTTAGCTATGGCCCTTTGGGCTACCACAGTGTTATTCTCCTTTTCTAGGAACTTGGTGTGCAATTTGACTACCCAAAAAGAAAGGAGGAAGAGGAACCCACAGCAAACCTCACATAACCCCAAAAGGGGATTTCAGATTTCAACCCGTGCCTTTCATCCACAGCAGGGCGGACTTGCCACTGTGCTGCTTGGCAAACACTTCTCCCGTTTCCTCCCCGGGAGCACCCTCTGCTGTGAGGACCAGGCAAGTCCTCCAGCTTGTCTGCCTGCCTCTCCAGCTGGAGTTAGGGCCTGGCCTGAGGGGCATGAAGGGGTGGAAGCGCCTCCAGGTTGACTTTGAAAGGATGAAAGCAAGGTCTGGAGAGGACAGGGGTGGGCCCTGGACTCTCAGTGTGGTTCTCTCTGCACTATGCCACTCTGCCCTCTTCCAGAAGAGCTGGGAGTCAAGGGAGAGGGGGCCAGAACCTCCGTCTGACCAGCACAGAAGGGATTGTCAGATTAAAGGACTGCTGCCAAGGCGAGGGGTCTGAATGAGGTATTGGTGTTCTGCAATCAGAGGAAACACACACACACACTGGCATTATTCAAGAGAGGTGTGACCTCTGGACTACCTTCCCCAAATGAAGGGGCCTAGAGAACTGAGAGTTGGAAGCAAATCCATCGCGGAGACGAAGAGGCTTGAGGCATTGGGGTGGTCACAGCGCAGGAGCCCTGACTGTGTTCCTGCAACCCTCGGGGTGAGCCACCAGATCCCTTCCAAGATCAAGGCCCTCTCTCTGACTGCTGGGAGTGTTGGTTTCTGACTACTCATAGCTGTGTCCTTCTCGGGAAGGGCCCTTATCCAAAGGAGACTGCCTAAGCTTACGCCCCACCCCGGGCATGGGCCACAGTCAGTGGCTGCCCCAGTAGGGGTGCAGGGTCCTGTGCCCCCTTGCCTTTATCTGGGACATCTGAAGGGCCACCTGGCTCTCAAGCTTTCCAGGTTGAGACCATGTCAGGACTGCACCAGAGTTCAGCGTCTGCCTCTGCCCAATCCTGCCCTCTCCTCCTGAGAGCTCTCCCCAGTAAAACTCCTGCACACATCTGAGTCTGCTTCCTGGGACCTTGACCTACTTTGCTCATGTGTCATTCTTTCACCCATTTGCCCTTGTTTACAGTCACTTACTGAGCACCCACCAGGAATGGCCAATGAATGGACCAGGGAGGATTTCTGCACTCCTTCCCAGAGCTCTGTCTGTGGCTTTGAAGACTCCTTCCTCACATTCTACGCAGCAAGAAAACAAGCAGGCATCCCACCCCCACCACCGGGATTCCTGGGAGAAGTGGGCTGTTGTAAGCCAGAATCCCCCTGGGAATCTGCGGGCATGCGACAGCTGGTAGCTGCAGCATGTAGCCTACTCCAACCCCACAGTTACCTCATGAAGAAAAGCAGGTCTCACCTTTTATTGAGCACCATGTTCCCGAGCTTCAGGTCTCTGTGCACAATGTTTTTCTGGAAGACAACAAAATGGTTTGCACCATGAAGGTGAGTGAGGGCTGGGGGCGGCCCAGCCTGCAAGGTGTTTGGGAAGGTGGGATAAAACTCTGTGACATGCCTTTTAAGGCTCTGCCTTGATTTGTAAGCCCCAGACAGACCAGGACCATTCTAAGACCTCATTAGCCATGTGTAGGGATGGGATAATAGGTGAGCTCAGGCAATCTCTGCCCCACCCAGGGCGGGTTCCCAGCTTTCTCCCCTCAGGGCAGCAGCCAGTGGGAAAACCCAGTCCTTTCTCCACCTCTATCAAACTTCTTATTGAAAACTAAGCATCTGCCTGCAGCCGGAATCAGAGATGAACTTTCCTGACTCTGGAGACCAAGTCTGCAGGCGTGGCCCACAGGCGCTGTGAGTCTGCAAGAGGCTCTCCTAACCTGGGCATTGGGGTACCTGACACCTCCAATCCTAGGAAAAGCTCAGAGGTAGGCTGTGGCCCCAGTGGATATCTCACAGTCAGCACCCAAGATGGGAGGCTCATGCTTAGCTCCTTGCCTGAGAGGGATCCCTGCTCTGGGCTCTGCTCCGGGCCCATTGCGGCACCCCCACCCCAGGATGGTGGGCTGATGCCTGCAGCACTGTGCCTTCCCAGGCATACATGTCATCTGGCCACTTTCCTTCTGCACACTCCCAGCTGTTCCAGCTGCAAGCACACCTGGGTGAGGGCGGGACAGAGGGTGGCTTTCTGTGGCTTGTGGGGCCCAGGATGCTGTCAGGCCAGAGGAGAGGTTGCAGAGGGGCAGCCTCACCTGGTGCAGGGCTTCCACCACGCGCACCACGTCGTAGAAGATGACCACGGTCTCCCGCTCGCTGAGCCTCTTCTCCTTGATGACGTAGTGCTGCAGGTTGATCAGGTCGGCGGTCTTGTCGCTGAAGTCGTGCGCACAGAGGCAGTCCAGAACAAGGCAGATGCGCTTCTTTGTCTTCTTAACCATTCGGCTGGATTCTGTGTCCTCAACGATTTCACAGGTACGGTCCTGGGAGGCAAGGGGGCTGATGGAACTGGGGCCAGGGCTTTGGGACTCTCCTCTGGAGCCAAACACAAAGCAATGAGGGAGCCGGGGAGAAGCCTGCATGTGTGTGGGTGATGAAGGCCTGAGGCCTGGGCAGCATGGACCATGGGGCAATGCCTGGCTTCCCATGTACCAGTGCCAGGCCGAGCAGGAGATGAGGTTACAGTAGCTCATGTACAAGATTCATGCTTTGACTCTAATATTAAGGGTTTGGATTAGGGTTGAGCATTTAAAGCCAAATGGCCCCGAGTCCAGAGTAGAGGCTGTAAACCCAGGACCCTCGACACCCTCCCCTCCACGGCACTCCAGGGATCCCAGCAACGACCACAGCACACTTCCTTCCAATGTCCAAGTGGTGGCTGTGAAGTGTTTTGTGTGTCCCAGACAACTGTTTCACATGGAAGAGGGACTCATGGGCAGTCTCTGGCTCCTCACCTGCAAATGGGAGCCGGTAACCCCTGCCTCACAGGTCCCTGGGAATAAGACAACCAGACTGAGTGCTAGTCCCCTGCCCCAGCCAGGGCTCAGTACATGGGCCCTGCTACCAACACCATGGTTGCAAGTTCTGCACCCACTCCCTTGCTGAAAAGACATTTCAAGTAAGAAAAAAACAGGCACAACACGGGGACCTACCAGCGTGAGGAGGCCCTCGGTGTCACCCAGCCCCTGGGAGCTCCCGGGGACTGAACATCCACCCCTCTGGTTCTCCCTTCCCCAGAGACCCAACAGTGTCTGGCACGCAGCTGACTCTAGAAACACTAATCAGCCAGGTTCTCTTGTCTACAATGATATGGCCCAGGCCAAGCTTTGGAAGCTGGCAGAAATGAAGTACTAAGAAATCACAATCTCCCTCAGTTTGACTTCATGCTTAAGGGAAACACTAGTTTTCAGAGTTGCCTAATGATACAGAGGTGCCTGTAACTGTGCCTCAGAATGAAGACCTTAGTGGGGTGTATGTGTGGGGTGAGAGGCATTCTAATTTATTGTATTTCGGGAAATCAAGCCAACAAGGAGTTTTTACTGCCTGAAATAACAGCCACAATGAGAGTGCAAATGGGGCAGCTCGGGGCTTTGCACACTCATTCATCTTCCCACCACTGAACAAGGTGGACATCACTGTCGTTATCCTCATGTCAAGATGAGGAATCTGAGGGAGGGGACTTGCCCGAGGTCACACAACCTGAACCCAGGACTGCTGGCTCCAGGACTGTGTACCCCCTGCCATGCTGCCTTTCCTGCACCAGGTCCGTTGGAGCAAGAAGGGGCCCTGGCCAGTGCGGCTGGCTAAGGGCACTGCGCAGGCTCTGCTGAGTCCTGAGTAGGCGGCCTCCTGGGCATCTGAGACGCTTCTCTACTTCTGAAGACACAATTTCAGTTCCGCCCCAAGGAGGGCTCTTTTCAGGGTACACATTGCTAATTAGCACCTTTCCTGAGGGACCTGGGACATCAGGGCACGGGCTCAGGGACACTTGTTGAACAAACTGGAATGCCTGGGCGGACAGGACTGTTGGTGCAAAAACAACTGAGGTGGCTCCAAGTGCCCGTTCTTCCTCACAGCCCTCCCTTCTACCCTGGCCAGGCCAATTCCTGACAAAACAGTAGAATGAGCCTGTGTCTTTAAATGACTTCCTGCTTTCCTCTTTTCTCAGAAAATCAGCTTTTCAAAGAAAAGCTGTAAGATGCGAACTGTGTGCCTTCCTGCTAGGCCGTGATCATCACAGCAGGATTGTGGGGCTGACCCAGTCTGACCTCTAGCCCAGTGGTCACCAACTGGTGATCCACAGACCACTGGTGGTCCATGAGGTCCGAAAGGTTGGCGACTGCTGCTCTAGCCCGCCCGGCCCAGAAAGTCATGACACACCCAGCACGCAGGGGTCACAAGGATGAGCTGCTCCAAGTACTGGTGTGGCCCTAGCAAGTGCCAGCCCAGGGTGGGGGGTCAGGGAAAGGAGGGAACAGGCAGCCACTCACCTGGAAGAGCCCGTGGTGGTGAACCACGCCATCCTGTGTGTGGAGGAGGGAGAGCAGAGAGTACTCGGTGTGTAACAGCATCTTGCCTTGCCTCTCCTCTTGGCTTTCTATTCCTTGGTCCCCCCTCTCCTCAAGGGTAAGGATCTTTAGGAAGGCACACACACACAAAAAGAAAAACAACCCAAAAAACCTTACTTTATAGAGCAGAGTGACCAGAACAGGAAAAGCAGGGGGTCACATTCTCCCATGCAATACTTTCACACACACTCACACACACACCTACGAAGTGCAACAGTTTTTCTTAATGTGATGGCAATGTAATTTATGCACAGATAAAGCTCGTTAAATCAAGAGTTGTTCAGAGAGAGCCTGTGAACTTGATTGTTTCTCGGGAAGAAATAGTGCCACTCTTGCTCACAAGTGGTGCAGGTGCGAAGGGAGAGGAAAGGGAGCCAGGTTGGCAGGATGGCCGAGTCCCCGGGACCCTGGCTCAGGTGCCTCACTTACCTTCAGCTGGTAGAAGTCATCTGTGCCATCTTTCCTCGCCAGACACTGCACAATGCTTGGCACTGGTGAGTTGCCCAGACGGGGACCTGCGCACAGAGATCAGCTGGCTTACTGCTCAAAAGCCTATCTAGAGTGGCACCATCACCACCTGGTCTTGGCTCGCTCTTCTCCTCAGAGGGCACCACTCAACTCCCCACAACAGCTCTCCCAGGGGAGAGTTTTCATGGTCTCCCCTCCAAAAATGGAGGGTACGTGTGCATCTGCCTGAGATACACGTGGCTTTTACAGTCCCATTCTAAAAAAGAGGGGTTTTCAACAGTGGGTGCAGGCTGGACTCTCTGAGGAGCATGTGTCAAAAAAAGGGCTCCCGGCTGCAACGTGCCCCTCTGAATTAGCAACTCCAGGGTAGAATCCAGGAAACCACAGCTCTGACAGGTTCCCACGGTAGCCTGATATAGCCACCTGGCCCCGGTCCAAGGACCAGCTTTTGGGAACTTGTGTATTTCTGGAGAAGTATACTGCTTGTCCTGTGACAGCACCCTGCCTGAGCTTTCAGGGCATAAAGCCGATGATGTCACCATGTCACTGCACTACTAACAACTCGTAACAGTGCTCCACAGCTCTTACTATGCAATCAAAACTCCTTTTTGGACATCCAAGGTCATGCATGATTAGCAAACTGCGGCTCGGCAAACTGTGGCTCGAGAGCTGTGATTTGCCGACCACGGCTCTAGCTACACTGGCTTCTTAATTCCTAAGACATTAAGGCCTTTACTGCCTCTGGGCTTTTGCATTTGCTGTTCCTTCTGTCTAATGCTTTACTCCTGCTTTTCACATGGCTGGCTCCTCCTTATCCTCAGGTGTCAGCTCAATGTCATCCCCTATACAGAACCTTCCTTGTCTATACTATCTCCTGGTCCTTCTTACTCACATCACCTTGTTTACTTCCTTAAAGGCACCTACCGGGCCTTCCAGTGATGATCTTGTGTGTTGTTTACTGTTTCTTTTTGCAACTAGAATGTTAAGTTCTGTGAGGGCAGGAACTGGTCTGTCGCATTCACTGCTGCACCCTGGCAAACAGCACAGGTCTGGCCAGAGTGAGCACCACTGACTCACTGAATGACTGCAGCTGGAACTCTCTTGTATCCATAAGTCCAGATGTTGTTCCCCCAGCAAAACTCACACCCAGCCTCTGGCTGCTAGGGAGTCAGGGTCCTCAGAGCCCACCTCACCTGCAACCCTGAGCATAAATAACCAGGACTTGCTGGATCTCTAACATCACGCAGAAGGCCCAGCTGCTCCTCGGGACCACTGGGAATACCCAATTCTACAGGATTTCTGTGCTAACTTTACAGGAAGTTTCAGGGACTATATTGACCACTGTGTGAAATTAATTATGCTCTCCAAGAGTGGTCCACAAGTGACTTGGATGGCCCTTGGGATTCAATGCAGCTTGTGTGTTTCCCATGGATGACATCGTAGGGGAACAGATAGTCTAGCTCTCAGCTAAGACTGATCTAAGGCTGGTGTCTCTACAACAAAGGTGACAACTCTTGGTACAGGGTGACCTAAAGCTCTGGGTCTCCCACTGCCATAAACAGACTCTAGTTAAGGCGGTGAGCCTGGGCCAGACCCAGGGTTGGTTAGGACCCCACACTGTGGTGGGTGTGACAATTCACTCTGCACGTCCGCAGGTCAGACTGTGCATGCCAGTGCGCCCTGCCCCTGCCCCAGCACCCACTCACCCAGAGGGAAGAGGCTTACCCAGGATGAACGGTCCAGCTCTCTTCGCATTATTTCCAGAAATCCCACTTCCTAGAGCCTTCGCCCTGGCCGACGTTTCCCCAGCCCCTCTGTCTGATGCTCTCCGCTTCATCCTCAGCTCTAGACAAGACAGAAAGAGCCCCTCTCACTGAGCAAGTCAGCGCATTTCCTTACGCTAACCCAGCCTCCAAGTCTCTGACTTGGGGATGCGTCACACAGCTGCTGCTGCTGCTGTCGCTGTCGCTGCCACCTCCTCCCCCTCCCAGAGGAGAACTGAAGGTTCCCGGTGACAAAGAACCAGGGATCCTTTACTTGGGATTAATTAGGGGCTTGAGAGAGTGTACTGGTTACGGAGGTGGGCAGCCAGCTTGACTCAAAAGGGCCGGTAAAATGCAGAGAGAACACTGGGCTTTGTGCAGATGCAAATTGGGTTCCCCAAGAGATCACCACAGAGAGGAGAGCTGGCTGGGAATTTACTATTCCCAAAGTAAGGCCTTCCCCCCAATTTCCTATAGCCAGTGGCCTGAGGGCTGATTCCTGGGTCCCACTCCACCCCCAATGTTCTGACCTCTGCGGTGTGGTGGGGTGTGGACCCCGGGAAAAGGTGAACATGAGGCCCCGGGGATTCTTATGCCCACAAAGTATACTGTACAGGTCACTACCAAGAATCTCCTCTCTCCAACTCCCCTTGACCCTTAAATCCTCTCAGATGGAAGAACATCCCAAAGTTGTCAATCAGGGGGTGGGGTAGGATGGCTGTTTAAGTTTGCTTTCTCTTCCTTTCTCCTATCTTCAAAATTTTCTTAAATTGCTTTTAAGAAAAATACTGTGCATTTAGGAGCCAGATAAAGAACACCAATGGAGGTCATGATCACTATGATTTGCCTGGTAATCCCTATCCCCTCCAGGGTTAAAACAAAAGGTTGACACAGGAGCTAGATGCTAGAAGATGTACACCTCTAGACACAGATTTTTAATTTGTTTCTAAAATATATTTTTTTATTGATTTCAGAAAGGAAGGGAGGGAGAAATAGAATCAATGATGAGACAGAACCTCATTGATCGGCTGCCTCCTACACACCCCATACTGGGAATTGATCTCGCAACCTGGGCATGTGCCCTGACTGGAAATCAAACTGTGACCTCCTGGTTCATAGGTCAATGCTCAATCACTGAGCCTCACTGGACGAGCTAGAATGGATTTTAAAAAAGGAGTCACTCCTTCTAGCTCTCTATAGTTAACACCTTGGGAATACAGCATCCTGGAGGTGGGGCAAGGAAACAGATGCACATAGATGAGTTCCACAGAGCGGGCAGAGGGCCACAGGGATGCCCAGGGAAGGCTGGCTGCCCAATCCCAAGGAGAGGTCTTGGCCCGAGGTAGGTGAGGAGGCTCAGGGGAAACTTCTTTGAGGAGGTGGTACTGGAATGGGCCAGGCAGAGGAACCTGGGTGAGCAAACGTACGAAGGTAAGAAATGATACATAAGCAGCCAACTCCAAGCAGTTTGTGTCACTGGAGTACACAGTGTGCAGCAGGGAGTGGAGAGAGGTGACCAGAGGAGGGGCCAGGACCACATCTAGGGGACCCGATGGCCATGTCAGGAGTGAAAACTTTAGAGGTTTAACAATCAGCCCTAAACTTCTGTAATTTCTTCCTTCATACAAAAGTAATTGGCATTCCCTGAAGAAACACTAGAAAATACAGATATGCAAAAATAAGAAAGATACCCGTGACCTCACCACCCAGATGTAATCGCTGTTAAAACAGACTTTCCTGTGTGTGTTTGTATAGGTGTGTGCTTACAATGTTTTATGGTATGTAAACACATTAAAGCTGTAAACAAACTAAAATAAAACACCATATTAACATCCCCTCATGACAATATTCTTCTGTAGCATCACTTGAAATAGCTGCACAGTCTCCTTGGTAAGAATATGTCATGATTTATTGGACCACACCCCCATTCATGGATATCTACTCTATCCATTTCTAAATATTTTTATTAACAGCCATACACCTACATCTTGGCGTACTTGTCTCTCTCCCTCAAGATAAACTCTAAGAAGTGGAATTGCAGGGTCAAAAGGGGAGCATGTTTTAAAGGTGCTTCACATATACTGCCAGGCTGCTCTCAGGGAGGCTGAGCCAATTGATATCTCATCAGCGGTGTGGGCGAGGAAGGCCCAGGACCTGCCCCAGGACTATGTCCTTATTTTAAAGACTGCCAATATGATGGGCAATAAAAAGTATATCGTTGTTTAAATTAATAATTCCTTAGTTATTCATGAGGTTGAGCTTATTTCACATGCTTACTGGTTGTATGTATTATTTTTTATGAATTTCCAGTCCATATTTTTCTATTTTTTTATTGTTGTGTATTAGTTACACTGGTTTTTAGAACCTATACATTAAGAATATAACTGGGAACAACAGGGGAGAGAGGTCAATGGGGGGGAAAAGGGGACATATGTAATACTTTAAACAATAAAGAATTTTTAAAAAGAATATAACTGGCACAGGATGTCATTTTTCTTAATCTTTTAACTTTTTAAAATGAAAAAAAAAAAAAAAGGTTAAACAGTTCTCTTTTCCTTTAGTTTGTTTTGCTATTATTCCTGGAAGGCTGTCTCTACTCTGAGAACAGGTGTGGGTCCACTAGTCAGGTTACTTTAACTCTTTACACGCTGTCATTCTGGCCCTTCTTCTAAATCCCAGGAGACTGACTCCAGCAGTGAACTGGAAGTAGGAGAGATGGCCTGATGTACTTCTAGCCCCTCCCAGGCTGGCTTCCCGTCAAGCCCGTTTGTTTCAGAGCTGTGTCACTGAGGAGCAGTCCCAGGGTTTCATTATGAGAGAAGCTGGGACCATGTAACTCAGTAGGCCCTGACCGTCCACAGATGGAGAAACCATGGCTAGGCTCCGCCTTGACTTCTGCCAAAGCTCATGCTGGAAACAGATTCAAAATCGTTCACACAAAAGCAGGGAAAAATAAAACAGCTTTTAGACTTCATAGCTGGGCACATGTGCCTAGAGCAGTGTTCCTGTTCTTTGCCTGGCTAACTTCTATGCATCCTTCTCAATTTAAGTATCACTTCCTCAGAGAAGCCTTCCTGGACAGCCCCACCACCAGTGGGTCCCAGCTAGTCTCACTTGGCTTCCTGTAATTTTCACTTGTAGCACTTTCCATATTTTATGGTTATATATTTATTTGTGTGTTTATATGCTTAATGTCTTACCCCCACCACTAGACAAAAAATTCCATAAGAAAAAAACACACCTTTGGACGCCAAGTGCCTGGCCCCGCAGATACTCCACGCTTGGCTGGATGCCTTCCCTCCAGGTGTGGGTAGTTCTCACAGGTCAGCAGCCCTGAGCTGGAGCTGCCCCTGTCCTGGTAGATAAGCTGGTTTCATGCCATAGTGGCCCTGTCCCCTTTCTAACGGAGCACTAAGCTTCCTCTCTTTCCCTGGTTCCCTGAAGAGCACCTCGGAGGCCTCATCATATCTGTATAGACGCTGCTGAGGCGCCTACGCACAGGCATGGTCTAGACTAGACAACAGTTTGCTGCGAGCAGCTGCAGCACAGACAATGAGTGGGCTCAGCTTGACCCCACCCACCCTACTCAAGATTCAACTCAAGCAAATGGCATGGGAACTGCTCCAAAATGTAGGCAGACAGAAGGATGGGAGCAGACGGGCAGGGAGAGGGAAAAGATGTTGCTGGCAGGGGAGGGGTAGCAAGGCTGCTTTCCTTCCTGAGCATCCCTTCTTGCCACGCAGAGCTGGCGGATGCAAAGGAAGCAGCATGAGGAGGGGCGTCTGGAAAAGCGGAAGCTGCTGCAGGCTCACTAATGAGGTGAGCGAAGACTGAGGGACAGACCCTCCTGCCCCTCAACCCCCACTAATGCACAGGGAGGGTGTGCCCACTTTCAAATCCTCCTGATGTGTCCCCCTTCAGAGGCACACCTGCAAATGGTACCAATGCTCCCTGGGGGCATCCTGCCTTCAAAGCGAGATCTGCAATGTGGAAGCTCTGGCTACTCTGGTCTTACAGTGGTTCTCAACCTTCCTAATGCCGTGACCCTTTAATACAGTTCCTCATGTTGTGGTGACCCCCAACCATAGAATTATTTTCATTGCTGCTTCATAACTGCAATTTTGCTACTCTTATGAATCGTAATGTAAATATCTGATATGCTATATGTTTTTTCTGATGGTCGCGACCCACAGGTTGAGAACCGCTGTCTTAGAAGGACTTGGGGCCAGGCTCCTCCAGAGACACTGGTCCTCAGGTGGGGTGAAGAGCCCTGACCTAGCCTGTCTAAGTGGTAGCCGTTTGCTGGTGCTTCCTGGGTGCACTGCTCAGCTCCCCAGGAACTTAGCAATCTTGGCTTGGAAGTCTTTGGAGCTTTAAATCTGCCAACTATTCGTGCGGTATCCTCCCACATCATGGCTGGTTCCCTTAGAACCTGGACTCAACATGAAGCTTAGGGAGGCAGCAATGGGGCTGAGGGGTGGAGGCTGGGAAGGAGGCACTGAAAGAGAACCCAGCCTGGCAGCCCTGCCTCCTGTAGGCTGCGCTTCTCAACCTGGATAGTGGGAGCTGGGGGGTCGTTTGCTTGGCCCAGCCTAGGGAGCAAATTGTGGGCCTTAGAATAAGGGCCAACTCTGTGACAGCCATCATGGCATGCCCAGAAGAGGGGAGGCCTACCCTACCCTGTCAATTTGGGGTTAAGGTCATGTCACCCCAAAGCTGCTTGGCCATATGGGCCCAGCTCTCCCAGAAGGCAATGAAGGCCAGGCCACTAGCAACACATAAGGTTCTAAGTCCCATCTAGCTGAGTCCAGGGGTGTAGTGTGACAGGGTACAGCATAGTGGGTGGGGTAGAGCCCGGCAGAACACACTATGGCAGGGCACAGTTCAACATGGTGGACATACCACCAACCCCAAAAGGAGGTGGACTAAAGAGAGAGACGGTACTAAGGCCTCCCAAGCTCAGTCTTCCTCAGCTCCAGCCAAAAGCAGCTGAAGCCTGGCCAAGGCAAGGAGACCCTCACTCACACCAGAAGCACCCCCCAGGCCTTCACACATGTGCAGACGCATGGCCCTAGGCAGGGGACACTCACATGTGCACAGAGCTAGAGCAAACCCCCACTCCCCGCAACATGAAGGGCAGCTGTGGGACCTGCTCCCATGTGTAGAAAGTTCTGCATTCAACCTCATCCTAGGCTTCTTGCTCTGGGTTCCTGGAGACACGTGTGACCTTGCAAACCAAACCGGTAAAGGCAGAGTGCGAGGGCAGTCCCTGTGACCTCGGCCCAGTGCAGCACTTGCTGTGTGTGCATGTGTGACAACAGCAGCTGGAAGCCACAATTTGTCAGCAGCCTCTTTTTGTGCTCCTGCTAGGAGCCAAAGGACTGTGCCTACACTGCAGGATCAGGCTGGGCCGAAGCCATCAATGTTAAGCCATTCCTGTCAGCAGCCCCTATCCCTACTCCCATGTTTCCTGGGTCAGTCAAAATAAAACAAACAAATCAACAAAAAGCTTCTGAGCTGTACAGGATTCTGTCCTTTGGACTGGACCTGGGGCAATGCCTGCTGAAGCAGGCCCCACACCTCTGTCCAGCCCACCTGGCACCTGGATGCACACAGAACTCCCACCCACCCCTCGCCTCAATCCTTTCTGCCACAGCAGCTCCCAGGAGGAGGCCAGAGTGAGTCTCTGCTCACAGGACACCAGGGCAGCAGAACAAAGTGGTTAGAGCAACGAGTGTTGGTCTTTTACCTGTCAAACAAAGAGAAACTCATATAGCACGTGGGGGTGAAAGGACTGGGGGCTCCAGCTGTCCTGTGGGTGGCCCCACCCTATGCCTCAGGCTAAAGGGATGGGAACTGGATAGGAACCTCTGAGTCAGAGCAAGGATTGGATGAGCCACACCTGGGTTCAAAGCCTAGCACCATCACTTAGTAGTGATGTGACCTTGACAAATGATTTGCTCTGTATCTGCAAAGTGGTGTGCAATATCTATCTTCCAAGGCTGGTCTAAGGATGGAGTGAGATAGTCCACACAACAGGCTCAGCAGAGTACCAACTGGCACATTGTAAGCATGTGATGAATTGTGCTGTTCGCTTAAAACACAGTAGCTCTGAATTTCTCCTGCCCAAAGAGAAGGGGATAGTTAGGTACTGAGTTAGGAAGGTGGGGAGCAGACGGAAGGTAACCAGATTAAAGGCTGAAGAGACCTTAAACCTGCTGTCTGCTGGCCTGAGACTACAGTCCGGGGGTCTGATGGCCAGCTTGAGTGACATGCTCAACTCAGTGTGGGGGAAAGGAGAGGCCTGGGCATTAACTGCGCTGTGGAGGAGTACAGCGCTGTGGGCAGGGCCAGGGCATTCTGTAGCAGAGGGCAGAGTACAGTTGCCTTGTGGGCCAAGGGGAGCGCCTACTCTTTTGGGCAGAGGCACACCTCATCTCATCGTCTTGTTTTGTTCATTGATCTACGGGGGAAGCAAAAGCTGGAGCACCAGCTGGCAATTATCAACTCGGGCACAGTAAGGGACTGTAGGAGGATGAGGCCATCTCAAATGGGTCCGTCATTATGATCCGGTGATGGAATTAAGACCTAGTGCCACTAGTCCAAGATCTCCTGGAGCAGGACTGGGGGAGTGGGACAGAGCACATATACTGGGCCATAAAACTTATACTATCTAAGGACATAACTTTTGTCACTTTCTGCACTTGTCAAAACGACTGAATGGTACAACTAAAAGATCTGTGAAAGTCACTATGTGTAAATAAATTAATAAAAAAGCAAGCTGCAACCTTAACCAAATGGTCAAACTTAATACCACCAATAGCAGAACAAACTGGCATCATGTTACTCCTAATATGATGCACTTAGAAAGATACACCACTTATGTTACTTTTTCTTTTTTAACTAAAAATGCATAAACCACATCTGATTATGAGCCACACCCAAACTGAAGGACATTCAACAAAACAGGCCTATATGCTTCAAAAACATGAATGTTGGGTAGGTTTTTAAAAGGCAGAAGAACTATTTGAGATTAAAGGAGACTAAAGACATATGACAAGTAAATACGATGGGTCATCCTGGGGTGGGAGTGGGGGGGGGGGCGGAATTATAAAGAATATGACTTGCGCCCTAACCCGTTTGGCTCAGTGGATAGAGCTCGGCCTGCGGACTGCAGGGTCCCAGGTTCGATTCCGGTCAAGGGCATGTACTTTGGTTGCGGGCACATCCCCTGTAAGGGGTGTGCAGGAAGCAGCTGATCAATGTTTCTCTCTCATCGATGTTTCTAACTCTCTATCCTTCTCCCTTCCTCTCTGTAAAAAATCAATAAAATATATTTTAAAAAAAAAAAAAAAGAATATGACTTGGAAGCCCAAGGTTGTGGGTTTGATCCCGGGTCAGGACACATATAAAAATCAACCAATGAATGCATAAATAAGTAAGTAGAACAACAAACTGACTTTTCTCTCTCTCTCTCTGATTTTTAAAAAGTTAAAAAAAGAATATGACTGGGCAACTGGAGAAATTTGAATATGAACTGTGTATTAGATAATAGTATTGTGTCAATGTTAAATTTTCTCAATTTGAAAATTGTATTGTGGAATAGTACAGGACGTAGAAGATTGTCTTTGTTTTTTAGGCGATAGATGCTAGTGTATGGGGGTGAAGGGTCATGATGTAATTTCCTTTCATTTCAGGTGCCTGGAGACAGAGGAGAAAGTGAACCTGCTGAAAAAGCTCCCCAGACCCTGGAGGAATATGCTGTCCAGATTCACAGGTTCAAAGGGATTTCTGGTGGGTACACAGCCCACAGTGGCAGAACTTGGAATCTCATACTTGTTGGGCAGAGCCAGCCTGGCATGAACAGAAGTTCTGTCTTGACTGTTCCCCTTCCTTCCCCACCCCAAACACTGCTAAAGGGATGGGGATGGGGGTGGGGAGATGCCTTTGTGCAATCTCCAGGTCTGCCACCTGGTGGCGTCTTTCTGCAGCTCATCTTCAAAGGGTTTCTCTTGGCACCAGGATGGGGCACTGCTCCCCAGGATGCAGGAATGACTCCACTAGAAGACCCCACCTCAGCTGCCTATGTAATTGGGGCTGGACAAACAGATTCCAGCAGCTGCACTTGATCCCCTGCTTGGGGACTGGGGCTGTAGTATCTGTCTGTCTCTGCTGTGGGGGGTCTTCCAATACTCCCGTGGTCTTCAGGAAGAAACAAATTCCTCAGTGAGCCTGGCTAGACCCAGGCTACCTCTCCAGTGTCACTGCCCTTTTATGCCTCCTACATCCAGCCACACTAAATGACACAATTCCTTGATTGTGCAATGAACAGGTTTGCCTGCCCTCCCCTTTCTGTCTGACTTGTCTTTCTCCCTTAGTCCTCACTTGCCACTTTCTGCACTAAGTCCTCAACTCCAGCTCTCAGGGCACCTGAGCATACCTGTCCCCTCCTGCTGTGCTGTACCACTGGCTTACCTTCCTGAATGCCCCTACCCCAGGTTGTGTGCAACCCTTTGGGAGCAACCCCAATTCATCTCTGCTTCTCTGCACCTCACCCAGTGCCTGGAAAACTGCTGAATGAGAAAACGAAGGGTGCAGAACTGTTTGTTGTACACCCAGAAGGCACTAAAGCCCATATGGGGCGGGGGACAGAGCTTGAGATCACCCAACTAGAAGCCAGGAGTTGGAGTGGGACCCAGAAGTATGGATGGTCTACCAGCTCATGGCAGGAGACAGAATCCAGGATCAGAGAGATGGGGTGTGGGGGATGACATAGTGGTAGGTGACTGGGCTGCAGTGATGCTGGGAAGAGTCTGTCCAGGAAAAGTCTCGTGTCAGAAATGTCTGGGTGCCTGAGGCAAGGCTTCCTAGGCTGGCTGATGGCCAGAGGCTGTGCTTAGACAGTGCTTGCTGCTGGAGAGCAGCCTCCACTGAGGAATGAAGCCCATTCACGGCATGCCTGCAGCTTGGGCCCACCCCTCACAGGCAGGACAGACAAGGCCCCTTTTTGCTGAATTCAGCTAAAAGATCTGTTTCCCGCAGTAAGACGTGGAGCGTGAGAGTGACAGCCTGGCCTGCCCCTCCCACCAGGGACAGTCCTCCTGGCCACTCCAGGTTTGAAGTGTGAAGGTTCTTCTGCTGGTCAGAAAAATTCCTACCACTCTTACTTTCCCCAGAAAAGAGAACTTCTGGCCCAGCTTTGTGTTTAGCTGGCTGTATTGCAATGAATGATGAGACTTGAGGTGAGCAGGGTGAAACCTGAATACAAGATCCAACTAAGATGATCTGTGGATCCATGCTTTATAGAGCAGACCCTTCCACACGAGAGGGAAAACAGTTCCCTCGAAAACTTCCTGGGCTCCTTTCTGGATGGTGAATTTTGGGCTCAGGACCTACTGGGAAGCCCACACCTGACATTAACTAACTTTGTACAAGGCTTTATAATTTACAATGCACTTTCAGACACACTATTGTAACTAACTGGAATATAGCCTATATAATAAAAGGCTAATATGCAAATCGACCAAACGAAGGAATGACTGGTCACTATGATGCGCACTGACCACCAGGGGGAAGATGCTCAATACAGGAGCTGCCTCCTGGTGGTCAGTGCGCCAGAAGCTGGGCTCATGGCTGGCGAGCGCAGTGGCAGTGGTGGGAGCCTCTCCTGCCTCCGTGGCAGCGCTAAGGATGTCCGACTGTGAGAGGGTGCAGGCTGGGCTGAGGGACAACAACCCCCCCCCGCCCCGCACAAATTTCGTGCACTGGGCCTCTAGTGTTCTAGAAAAAGAAACTGAAGCTCCGAAATACTGAGAGACCTGCTTAGTCTCCTGCCTAGTTGTTGAAAGAGCTCACCTATGTGAACACAGGTTTTCCAACTCTGAATCCCACATATTTCTACTTGACCACACTGCTTCCTTAGCTGCTTTCTCCACCTGATGTCTGCTGTGGTTCTAGCATGCCAACCAGAGAGGACAGCACCCTCTGGACTTTCTTACAAGCAATCATTCTCCTGGAATCAGGGAGCTGCCAAGCCAGAAAGCATCAGGTGAGCAGGGAGAGAGGGGTCATGCTTGCCCTGGAGGAGGTGCATTTCAGGGCCCCCCTGGAGAAAAGGGCTGAGTCCAAGGCGGGGTTACTAACACATCCTCCCACCAGACAACAGGGCAGTGTCCTACACCCCTCCCTGACTCACACACTCTGGGAGTCACCCTCACCGCACCTCAATATTCACGCATAGGTGCTTCTACCAGCGCCACCATCTTCCCTACAGGCCTATTCTCCGTCTACAAAGCCAACCCAGGGAACCAAGAGGAATTCGCAGAACCAAGTGTTTCAGATGAAGGACCAGTCACTCACATGCCAGATGGGAGAGCAAGGTCAATTTTGGGGTCAGGTAGGCCTGGTTTCAAATTTCAGTTTGCCTCATTCACTTGCTTTGTGACCCTGAAATAGTCACCAATCCTCTGTGAGAGTCACCTCCACTACGTGGGCCTCAGTTTCCTCATCTCTAAAGTGGGATGACTGAAGGATCAGACAGGATGTTGCGGCTGGTGGTCTCGAGGGCTATGTTGGATGAAAGGTGAGCATTCCCTGTTCCATGCTGAGCAGCCTTCCTGGTGACAAGTCTCTCCAAGCAAATACCTTTTAAACTATCATTTAATGGGCGTCTATTGCTTGCCAAGAACTGTTCTTAGTGTTCCTGAGATTTTCTTCAATTCTCACAACTTTATGAGGGAAAGATTTCCCCCTTTCACTGCTGACGAGTCAAAGCCCAGAGATCCTGGCCCAGCTCACCTGCCTGGAGGAGGCTGCCTGCGGCCTGTTCGCTACTCCTGCTAGCTTCCTGGAAGGGGGCTCTGTCTGAGGGCTTTTCCTTTGAGTTTGAGTGACAGCCATCTCTGAAGCAGGCATGAACCTTTTCCCAGGCAGCCTGAAGGCCATAAGCAATCTCCCCAGGAAGCCCCTGGAAGCCATTTGCTTCTGCGCTCGGGATGGATGCTGGGGGTGGGGAGGCGGATTAGTAATCCCTAGGCTTCAGCCAGGACTCCCTGATGACAAAGATTCATGCCTGTGCTGTCATCTTCACTGTTCCAAAACAGTGTGATGATTTTGTTCCTTTTTAAAATGCAGGATATGTATAGCTCCAATTTGTCAAGAATATATAACATCACATCATTCTTCAATGCAGTGCTTCACTGCCTCGGGGTACGGAGTGCGCTGCTGCGTTCAACCAGAGTTCCCTCTTGTTGCTCAGGGTGAACCCCACCCCCTGAAGCCCTGCTCTTGGGCCTGGGGGTGAGTACCTGCAGCAGCCAGAGAGGAAGTGACTCAGCCAGTGGGAAGTGGGAGGGGCAGTCAGAAAGAGGGCTCTGTGCCCAGCTGCTCCCCCTCAGTCCTCGGTCACTGCCTTTCCTCATAGGACTACAGCATGCTGAGTTCAGCAGTCCTGGGGGCTTGCCGGGGCCTGAAGGCCCCGCCGCTCATAGGAAGCCCAGTGGCTGCTGCTCACGGTCCAGCTCTAGTCTCCTCCAGGAGGCAAGATTATACAAACAAGGAGACTCCATAATCAGTGATGTCCGTCTTTACCCCACTGCCCCGAGGAAGTCCTCACTGGGCTCCTCTGTGATTTCCATGAAGGCTGGGGGGACAGACTGGAGGCTAAAGGCCCCTGCCCAGGAGAACGTGTCTCAGAGTGATTCTGGGAGAAAAGGCTCCAGGGCTGTGCACACAGAGGTGGACCCGTAGACCCCTCTGGGGAAAAGATAAACAGCATAAGAAACCAGTTCCTGCATATGGGTCACAGGACCTCACCAGCAGCCACTCAAAAAGCCACCAGAGCAGAATCCAGGGCAGCATCACCAGCCCTGCCACCAGCTCACCCCGCCCAAGGGCCTCCGGAAGCAGCTGATGTGACAACAAATAATCCGTCACTGTGAGTGGGTGTCAGAGGAGGAAGGAACAGACTTAATAGCTCTTTCTGAGCTGTGCTGCCCTGGTATCTCCCTCTAGAGAAGCAGCCTGGGGAAACGGCGAAGAGCCCTGCCTTGGGAGACATTCCTGGCGGCCTCTTGGCTCTGCAGGGGAGGGGGACTTCTGCCATGAGCAGTGATGGCAGACTGGGTCACTGAGAGCCCTCCCCAGCATGCCAGCCTTCCTACAACTAGGGGACCCTGGCATGAACAGATGACAGGGAGGTCCCTCAACTCAAACCATCACTTATTACTTCGTGCAGTGACTCAGCCCAGCAAGAAGGCCTGCCACAGGGTCCCATGTGGACTTCAGGTTCTTGCCACTCACAGTGGTCCAAATCAGGCAAGAGAATGTAGCAAGCGACTAAAGGAGGGCTGGCTGAGTCTGAGGGCCACCTCTGTGTCCACTGTGTGACCTGGACACGTTTTCTCTGCTCCTCAGTTTCCCACCTAGTGAGAGAGACAGTGATGCTTCACACAGGTTCCCTGAGGACTGCTGGGAGCCAGAGTGTGGGAGGCACTTGACAAATGCTAAGTTTCCTTCTACCCCAGATTTCCAGAGCGACATACGGGAGAGCCCAGGCCTGGCCTAGGTGCAACGATTCTCTCTCTTTCTACTGTTTTTAATAGCAGAAATCACTACAGTCATCCGGTGAGAAAGGCAATTAGGACTGGGGCCAGCAAACTGCCTTTCCTTAACTGCCTCTATCAAAAATTAAATTCAATTAAACTCCACAATTTTGACAATGAACAACACAGTTCACTTTCTGCGGTTTTACTGAATGCTGCTGGCTGTGGCTGCTTGGAGGGCAAGATTACAGAGGCAGACGGCAGGCCTGGCCATCAGAATGCCCCTCAGTGGGCCGTTCAGAGGGGTGGGCCAACACGAGGGCCTCACCTGCTCTGCCTCTGGGAGGCCAGCCATGGCCAATCCCGAGGGCCACAAGCCTCCATGGACAGACACTGGCAAGCAAACGCTCCTTGTGTGTCTGCTCACCTGTGTCTCTCGAGAGGGTGAGCTCCTGGAGGCCGGGCCTGGGGCCTTGTCCTCCTGAGAACCCTGCACAGGCCCAATAGGTGCGCAGAAGACACGCATGAAATAACAGCCAACAAAGTAAAAGAAAATGCACAGCCTGGGGCCCAGCACTGCCAGTTCTAGGGATTTATCCTACAAATATACTCACACCAATTCACAAAGATTAATTGCTCCAGGGTCTTCATGTGTAGCAGTAAAAAAAATCACAAAAGACAAAACCACGCACACACACATACACCCCTCAGACAGGTTCACCAAGAAGGGACTGGTTCACTACATCATGTTCCATCCAGACAATGGAATACTACACAGTCTTTAAGACTAAAGCCACACCTGCTGATAAAGATGTCTATGACACACTACATTTTTAAAAAGCAAAACACAGAACAATTTGTATAATACAGTCCCATTTGATTTAAAAAAAAAGATTATATACACCTCTGAATATACCTAGGAAATTTCTAGAAGAAACTTAACAATAGATACTTCCATGCAGTGCAACTAGGGGCTTGAAGAGAGGAGGGAGAGTGTTATTTTATATGCTTCCATAACTATTCTACCATAGACTATTATAATAATAATTTTTAAAACTCTAAAAATTTTCTGAATCCATTAAAATTGTTAAGAGCAGTAATGGAATCGGGGGAGGCTGGGCCTCCAAGAAGGCACACAGAGGGAGTATGTATGGTACAAGAACACGAGTGTGAGAGTAAGTGCCCTAAATGTACAGGTCTGTGTGCTGACCCCAGGCTACATCAGGAGAGTGGGGAGTGGAAGGAACAAAATCACCCCTGCTGGTAACACTTAAGCTCTCCCAGGTAACTTGCAAACACAAGGAACTTCCTGCTTGCCACCTGGTACCCAAAAGGGCTGGGAGGGCCACCAAACGGTTTAAACAGGAGACCTGGAAGCTGGCTCATGACACGGCTTTTGGGACAGTTACAGACCTGCCAGCAAAGAGCTCATCTGGGCCTCTCACTAGAGCTAGCTCCTGGGTGCTGACTGCAGGCCAGACACAAGCTGAACCTGCTATAGACAGTAACACTCGTGTCTACCTTAGCAGCAAGAAGTATTATGTCCATTTTATAGAGGAGGAAACTGGGGCTGGAGATAGGAAGTGACTTGTTCAAGGTCACTCAACTGGCAAGTGGCAGAACTGCTGGTTGACATGGCTGAAAGTCTCCTAACCCACTACTCAAAGGGCTGTGGCGGGGGGGGGGGGGGGGGGGCAGGTGGAATTGTCTCCAGGCAATGGCAGTTTCCAGTTTCTGACAAAGAAGGGATTCCTTCAGCTTTGTCAAGGTCCCTTCCAGCTCCACGGCTCTATGAATCCAAGGTTCCATGTGGTTGGCTCCCTGGGGCCAGGGTCTGGCTAGGATGGAGGAATGGGATGGCATGAGTTCCAGAGTCACACAAGTGTGGGCTGGCTCTTCCTTGCTGGCTGTGTAACAGTGTAGAGGTTATTAAAGCCCTTTGAGCCTGGGGGTTGTCCTCTGTAAGAGAAATAACTCCTTCTTCCTTAAATGTGAGAAGAATTCAGTATGTATTGCAGAGTACTTAGCCAAGGACCTGGAAGATGTGGGGATCCTTCCTTTTTGGCTGTTTTCCTTTGTTCCTTCAGGAGAGACCACCTTGAGAGCGGAGTCAGAACAGAACACACCCTGTGGAACTTGCCCCAAACACAGTAATGCCAGGAGCTCCTTATCAACTGCAAAACGGAGCAGGACTCTTGCCCCCAGAGTTGGCAGATGCCAGCAGTGGGGTTCCAAAAGTCCCACGGAATTCTGGGCTACAGCAGTCCAAAGGTCTCCCAAGGGGATGAACCCGAGCCTCTTCCCAAAGCACCTGCTGTTCCCTGATCACATCTCAAACCAGCTCTGCCCTGAACCCAAAGACAAATGAGGGCACACCAGTCCTGTCCTTGACACTTCCCATGGCAACGTCCAGGCACTTTCTCTTCCATCTGGTACCTGGGGTCAGGGACTCCCTAAAGGCTAGAGATCCTCTAACTTTTTTGCCAAGAAGACAGCAGTGTATCAACATATTTAGAGGGGACAGCTTCATTCTGAATGACAAGAGACCTCAGTTTTGCTACCTTTATGCCTTCCGACAATTAGAGTTTCTCTGGATCATCAGGCCTGTATACTGCTATATTAGGGAGCCTAGACTCACACCCAGGACAGACAGCCATTAGCTCAAAGAGAATGACTAGCACTGGGCTGTAGCCCCCTTAGGAAGGAGGACCTCAACCCCAGAAGTTTACTTTTGCTTGCTGGGGGAAAAGCAGGTTGCTTCAGCTTATTAAAAGGGGCCCAGGGAGCATTTTCTCAACCCATTGAGATTTTGCTTCCTGCAATCATTGTCATTTTGGCTCAAATAAATTCTAAAAATCCTTAAAAAATGGGGTGGGGGGGCTAGAAATTCTATTAATAGTCTATACATATATAAAAGCCTAAGCAACCAGCCAACCAGATGACCACCCAGTAGCTATGATGCACACTGACCACCAGGGGGCAGACGCTCAATGCAGGAGCAGAAACCACAGGCATGGAAACATGGAACAGACTGATGAATCTCAGAGGGAAGGGAGGCATAGGGGAGGGCGGGAAAAGATTAACCAAAGATCTTATATGCATACTAGAGATTCGGTGCACAGATTCATGCATCGGTGAGGTCCCTTGGCCTGGCCTGCGGGGATCGGGCCCAAACCGGCTCTCCGACATCCCCCGAGGGAGTCCCGGATTGTAAGACCTCTTTGAAGTAGCAACTCCTCTTCTAGAATTTATTCTGCAGATATCTAAGCTGGGCAAGGTCACATGTATACAGTCACTTCAGCTTTGTTTGGAGAGCAAAAGACAGAAAATAACCTAAGTACATCAGTAGAGAGCCTGCTGAATAAATGACACACAGATGAAGACACAATGTAGCCTCAAATGATCCAGACGTGCATGTACCAAAGTGGCACCATTTTTAACATAGTAAGCAAATCAAAGCAAGCAATAGCATCCTTTCTCCTTTGGGGGATATTGATTACAAATCCCAGAGGATATGCGGTGCTCCTGTGGGCCGGGTGACCTCCAAAGCCACAGTTTCACCTGGGCAGGTGGAGGAGAAAGATGTGCTCCTATTCAGGCCACTTTCTTTTCCATGCCACAAGTGCAAGGAGAAATTCTGTGGAGAGCTCCGCAATTCCAAAGGGCCTGTCTGAAGCCTTGCAGACCAGCACATCCTTCTCCAGAGCCCAATCCCATTCAGGTCTAGCTCTACACTCCCCTAGAGCTCAGGGAGATAAGGGCACTTCCCTTCTGGCTGAGTGAGTCCCAGGCAGCCTCTGGCTGACACCTCTCCTTCCTGAGAAGAGGAACTGAGTCTGCTGACCCAGCCTCTGGAGTAAATGCAATCTCAGGGTCTCTTTCTGGATCAGATCTCCAGGGAGCTGGGAAAGCCATCCTTCCCTGGGGGTAGCTGCTGTGCAAGACCTCATCAGTCGGTCCTTTGCTGAATTGTGTGGATGGCGTCAGACTGAAGGTCCATTTGAAGGCAGAAGAAATTATGGGAGCTTTTTAGACTCAGCCACTTGAGTTTCTGAAACATTGAAGAGTTAACCTCCCCAGGCAAATCGGCATGGAGGGAAGGGGAAAGAAGGGAAGCTGCCCTTCTCTCAGGCACTGACTCACGCCAAACCAGAGGGAAGCCTGGCCCAAAGCCAGACAGGGTGCCACAGGCTTCACAACTGATCCTGTCCCGTGAGAGTGTGCGCAGGGCTTACTGAATAGAGCTGGCGGGTTTCACTGGTCATTGTCTTCTCCTAGCCATCCTATCTCTACAGTATTATTCACTCTGTCACCCAAGCCAGGAACCTCTGAGTCACCTGCCACCATTGCTCCTCCCTTAATCATCACTTCCAAACACTCCCAGAGTCTAGCTGATTTCCCCCAAACAGCCCTGTTCTCTGTCCTTCCTTCCATCCCAACCGCCTCTGCCCTGATCCAGCCCCCCACTAATCCTTGCTTTGAATATTGCAACAGCCTCTTACGGGGACTCCAGACTTGCTTTCTCCCCAATCCATTCTCTACCCACAGCCAGAAGGCTCTTGGGAAGATGCAAGTCTAATGTTTCCTCCACTTAAAGCATCCCATCACCAAAAGAATACTTAGTTCAAGCAGTTTAGCCCTGGTGCCTACTCCGCCAGCATGTCCTACAGCCAGGTGCCTTCACACCCTGTGCTTGAACCTCTGTGGTTCCTAAAGTGCACACACACCAGCACACAGCCAGGCCTGTGCCCTGCTGCTCCCCTGCTTGGAGTGCTTCATGCGCCCTCAGAAAACTCAGCTCACCCTTCAAGATCCCGTTTAAGCTCTAAGGACTCTCCAAAGTTCTCCCCAATCTCCTCATCTTCCCGGGGAATCAGTCTTTCCTCTGGGTTCCCACTATATGCTGCACAGACTTCTGTGAGAGACTTGCCAAGCTCTATGCAAGTGTTAATTGGTTAGGAGCTTGCCCTGTCCCTGCTGCTACCGCTCTGCTCTCCTTCTGCCCCCATCACCCCTCCACCCTATACCTAGCACATCCTCAGCAACACATGGGAGCTTGTGTGTGTGGAACCCGAGAGCTGGATTTGGAGTCATCACACACAGCAATATGTTTCCTGCTGACACTAATTCAGACACCAGACTAGGTCACTAATAGGGACACACATGGAAGAAATTCTAATACTTTTTCTCAGCATTCCTATTTTTATTTTAAAAAATGGTTCTTTTAAAGAGCCAAGCTGAATCATTCGAATGGCTCTTATACGGACTGGGTAACCCCACCCCCACCCCCACCCCCAGATTTTCTGTTCAGAAAGAATACAATAAAACTGATTTTGTGATGCCTTAGGACACTTCTGACAGCTCATTGAGACAGTACTAGTTGCCACTAATTGCATTGACTAGTTCGTGGAAGTTCTTTTCTGCAGCCGTAACAACAGCTAACACTCAGTGTGTGTTAAACGCTCAACCTGCCACATCTTACTAACCCTCACCACTGCCCTGCTAGGGAGGGGCTCTGACTGTCCCTATTTCACAGATGAGAAAGCCAGGCATGGAGAGAATAAGTAACCCTCTAGTGACTGGCCGGGCTGGAATTAGAACCCAGAGATGACTGCAGAGCCAAGTAGGCTCTTCACCACTACAAACTGCTGCCTTCCCCAAACGTCAAATTCAAGGCACAATGGAGCAAATGCAGGACCCCTACAACTGGCCTTCTGAGAGGGCAGCTCACCTCTCCAGCTGCTCAAGCAATCTGCAATCCCAGGAAGAGAGGGACACATGTACCAGGCACTTCTGTAAAGCAGAGCAGTCCAGGGCAGTGAAGGGAGCTTGTCACCTGCCACTGGTAGCACAGAGTGCTTTCTCAGCAAAGACCTACCACCCCAGCACCACGTCTCCACTCTTAGAGGCCTGCAATGGCCTCTGAAGAGGTCTCCAGTCCTTTAGTCTCTCCTCTTCCTCTTCTGTTGGGACTCAAGGGAGACAGTTCTAAAACTAGATCCAATTATGATACTCTTTTGCTTAAAACCTTCTCACAGGCTCCCCATGGCCCTTGGCACAAAGTCCCAAATTGTTGATGTGGTGTTCTCTTGTCAACCTATACTGCTTTACCTTGCACCATGTTGACTTTCATGCCACCATATGGAACAGTCTGAGGTTTCTGGAATAAACGATGAGTGTACTTGTCTCTCTCTAAGTAGAACACCTTGCTTCTTCACTCTCACCTGGCTAGGACATCCCATCCGTAAGCTCCCACTTAGTCACTTCGGCCAAACCTTCCCAAGACCCTCCCCCTACCCAGGCTGAGCTAGCAGGTTCCTCTGCTGGGTTCCCACAAGCCTCTTGTTCCTGCTGCTACTAGCTTTTTCATACCACACTTCAACTACCTGTCTATAGGGCAGTCTCCTTTACCAGATCATAGGCTTCTTCAAATAAGAAATAATAGCTAACATTTACTGAACTCTTATTATGTGGTAGACAGTGGTTCTATGTGTTTTACATGTGTTAACTTTTTAAATCTTCCTAACAACTCTATGTTATCACCTGTTTTAGAGATGAGAACAACCGAGGCACAGAGAGGTTAAACAAACATGCCCAAGGTCGCACAGCTAGAAAGCTTCGGAGCCAGAATTTGAATTCAGGAAATCTGACTCCAAAGCCATCTCTTAAAAAAAAAAAATAAAAAATTATTTATTGATTTTTTTTTTGAGAGAGAGAGAGAGAGGAAAAAAGAGAGAGAGGGAGAGATTTGTTGTCCTACTTATTTATTCAATCCTTGGTTGCTCCTTATATGTACCTGACTGGAGTTTGAACCCCAACCTTGGCATATAATGAGGACACTCTAATCAACTGAGCTACCTGGCCAGGGCTTCCAAAGCCCACTTTTAACCACTATAATATAGGTTACTTGCCTCTCCAGGCAAGCTTACTGTTGTTGTCTTGTGGGGAATGAATGAATGAATGAATGAATGAATGAGGGCTATCTCCAGACTGTCTAGATCTAACCCACAAACAGCTGGCACGGCAGGGCCGTCAAAGCGCTGAAGCAGCTCACAAGCACTGTTTACAAACAGTTACATATTCTGCTCTTCCTTATCTCATGAAAGCTAAGCCAAGAGGGAAAGGAGCCCAGCCCAGAGTGACTACCCTCTTCCCCGCTGCGCTCAAAACCGAGCAAAGCCAACCGGTTTCCTCCCGTGACTTAAAACAGAGCAAAGTCTATCCTGCCACAGAAGGCGGCTGTCATCTCTTCCTTCCGCCAACAAACCGGCATCAAACCTACGGAGTGGGGGTGCGCAGAGAAACCCAACGCCCCACCTACTGGCTGGAAGGTGAGGCCAAGTGGCGTGGGAATGGGCGGGCCTGACCCAGCAAGACAGGTGAAAGAGTGACCACAGCACTCTCCTTGAAAAAGGCCGACCAAAACACAGCACTAGCGAGCAGGTAGCTCTGACCCGCACCTGGACGCCCCCGGGAAGCGAAAATTCCCCAGCAGTGATGGTGCCCGTGCCACGGGTGAGGGCTCCCGGAGGAAGCCCGGCTGGCTCACCCTGGGGACTCGTTCTAACTTTCAAGTCACTCTCGGATCAGGAGCGAAGCATGGAGAGGCAGAGGGATCTCTTGGGGAAAACCTGGCTGGTTCAAACGCCGGTGCCTTCACTTACGGGCGGAGTGACTCTGGGCAAGGCTGGCAGTGCCCACCTCCCAGGCTTCCGCAGCACTAGGGTCCCCGAGGCCCCCGGCCCCGGCGCGCAGCAGCTCCCGCCCCCGCCGCCCGGGAACCGCAGACCCCAGCAGAAGAGGGGGCATTCTCTGTTGCCATTTCTGTCACAGCCAGACGGCCTCGGGCTGTCACCACAGTCCCATCACCTCAGCCGCCGAGGCCCGCCCAGAAAACCCGCACCCTCCGCCCGGCTCCCCGCTCCCGGACCCCCGCCCTCACCTTCCCCCGCTGCTCAGCGCTGCTCGCCCATAGTCCGTAGCCCAGAGCCGGGACTGCTCGGAGCTCCGTCTCGGGGGGCCGGGCCGGGGCCGGGCCGGGGGCGTGGGACCCGCTCACCGCCGCCTCCCAGCGCAGCAGCCCGAGCCGCCGCCGCCGCCGCCGCCTCGCTCCATGGCTGCGGCGCCGCCACCTGACAACGGAAGTGACGCACAGCCCCCTCCTACCGGCCCTAGCCGCAGCCCCGCCCCCTCTCCGGGCCCCGCCCCTCGGCCGTGTCTTCGGCCTCACGGCGTTGGGATTGGGTACTATCATGACGATGGGCGGAAGCCTTCAGGCAAGAGGCCAGATTCCAAATGCGGATTGGTTCGGGGTGGGGTCCGGGACGAGACCTGTGAAACGATTGGAGGCTGAGATGCTAAAGGGGCGGTACTTACCGCTTATCTAAGTCTGCGTAGAGGCTGGGCCTGAGGCACCGCCCCCTCCCCGACTCCACCGCACCTCGCGTGCCAGGTTTGGAGAAGTCTCCAGTAGTTGGCCAGCTGTAGTGTATTTATCAGAAAAATGGTTCTTCCTAGAACCCCATTTCTCGGTTTCTGGAGTTCTGTGCGGAGAACGCTGCGGTTAGATTCAATAAATGACAGGAATTCCTGTCGTAGCCCTCACAATTCCTTTTCCTCCGGGCCCCTCGCTTTTGTTGACGCCCCGCTTCCACCTGAAGATCCCTGAAGCCTTGACCAGGAAGGTTTACAGTGAACAGTTCTATTAATGATTCTAGTCATCTAACCTCAGCCCCTCCTGTTGCAGTTTCGGTCCCTTTCTCCACCTCCTCCAGCAACCACGCCCTCCATGAATCAGCTTCTTACACCAGCAGATGAGCCCTTTAAAGGGATTGATTGCATCAGGCTGGTGACTCACTGGGGCCCTCTGAGAGCCTGGCTTCCCTCCCCTGGCATGCAGAAGCAACTAAAAGGGCTCAGTGGCAGCAGCACCCGCGACCATGGCCGTCACTTCTTTGTTTCAGAGGATGTGCGCTGGGGTGCTTGCTGCATATGACTGCCTGATTCCTGGGTGTCTTGCCAGCTGTCCCTTGGGTCACTCTGCATCCATGTGTGGGCACACGTGTCCAAACCTGTGTGCACTGCTGGGTTTTACTAGGGCAGGTGGCCAGGCACTTACCTGTATGTGCATTTGTCATCTCTATACAGGCAGTGCCAGGACATGAGAGTTGGTGTATGAATCTGACTGCCTCCTCCTGTGTCTATCTGAATGTCTGGTGTTCACTGAGCTGATGGGGCTGAATAACAACAGTCATCAAAACAGCTCCCGCTGTGTGTCACAACCCGTGTCGAGCACTTTAGAGACATCAGGTTAGAATTCTATTTACAGATGAAGAATCTAGATCTCTGAGATGGGAAATAAGCTGTTCAAAGACACACAGCTTATAATGGCAGGGCTGTGATCTGAACCAACTCTGGCAGATGGTGAAAATATTGGATTTGAATCCTTACTTCACTCCTTACAAGCTGACTGATGAGTGTAAGTTCCTCAACCTTCGCCACATGTCAAAACAGGGATAACACTTCATGGGATCACTGTGAGCATTCAGTGTGTGGAAACGGCTTCTCGCAGGACCTGGCGAGTGTTTTATACGCACCTCAGTTACAGAGCTCTGATGAAGTGGATGACAAAGTCAGGCACAAAGAAGCCAGCCCCTGCCCCCAAAGATTTCCTCTCTGACAAAGGGAAAAGCCTAGGGATTCCGGAAGCCCTGACTCTGACAGGAATGAGTTTTGGGTTTTCCAGAGCTCTAATTATCAGCTAGATGAATCACTAGGAGCTGACACCACCCCCCTCTACCCCCAGGAGACTTCCAGCTGATTCAAAATATAGGATTTTAACAAAGGAGAGAAGGAGGGAGAGAAAGTGGGGGAGGAGAAGAGGTAATGAATAGAAACTAAAGGTGCCAGCCAGAGGAAATGAAAGGACATCAATATGAGACTTCTGTGTGTCATACACACACACACACACACACACACACACACACACACACACACACCCGGTGACACACTCTCCTGCTGGCTCTCCACTCTGGGCATACTGGCAGACAATGCTGCCAAAACAAAGTGACGCCTATGACAATAGCATGAGATGGTTGCTTGATGAGGTATAGGCAGGCCTATCACAGAAGAAGAGGAGGAGACCTTCAACCCTGATGAGCTTACTCAGCCTTCTTAAACCCAGCAAATCCTTCTTACTGGGTGTCTTCTGGCTTCTCTTTGTGGCCAAGCCCCAAGGCCTGGGTATGGCAAGTTCTGAGTGCCAGGCCCACACTTGGTGACTGGGAACCAGCACTGAGATGAGCAGGGCACTGCTTATCTTACTCTGTCATCAGTGTGATGTCAGGAGTGCTGGGGAGCAGAATAATGTAGTGTAGTATCATGGAGTTGGAGTCATACAGACCTGAGTTCAAATCCCATTTTGCTGTTCACTAGCTCTTCGACTTTGAGCAAGTCACTTAACCTCTCTGGGTCTGTTTTCTCAGCTGTAAAATGGGGCTATTAATATATCCCTCCAGGGTTGTTATAATGATGAAATAATTCTTTCATTGCACAAAGATTTATGGGGGGCCTGCTAGGTGCAAAGCACTGAGCCAGATACTAGTGATCCAGTGGAACCGAACAGACTACATACAGCTCTGCTCTCCTGTAGCATGTAGGGCCCTGGCACAGGGCCTGGCACACAGTGAGACTCAACAATCCATAGCTACTTCTGTTGATCATCTTGGCATTCTGCCATTAACTTAATCATGGGACCTGAGGAGAGTCCCTTCTCCTGAGGAAACTAGGCCTGTTTCTTCAACTATAAAATGACAGGGTTACCCACAGGAAATACAAAGGTGAGGTTCCTACCTGCAACTGTGGGCAACAGGGTCAGAGTTAACACAGTGGAGTCTCAAGAATGTGAATGGCCCGGCTGGTTTGGCTCAGTGGATAGAGCGTTGGCCTGGGGACTGAAGGGTCCCAGGTTCGATTCTGGTCAAGGGCATGTACCTTGGTTGCGGGCACATCCCCGTTGGGGGGGTGTGCAGGAGGCAGCTGATTGATGTTTCTAACTCTTTATACCTCTCCCTTCCTCTCTGTAAAAAAATCAATAATAAAAAAAAAGAATGTGAATGGCCCGGCTGGTGTGGTTCAGTGGTTGAGCATCGACCTATGAACCAGGAGGTCACAGTTTGAGTTTGATTCCCAGTCAGGGCACATGCTGGGGTTGCCAGCTCTATCCCCAGTAGGGGGCATGCAGGAGGCAGCTGATCGATGATTCTCATTATTGATGTTTCTCTCCCTCTCTCCCTCTCCCTTCTTCTCTCTGAAATCAATTAAAATAACATATTAAAACAAAAATGACTGCATTTGCTAGGTTCAAAGTACAACAACAATCAGTCTCATTCTTTTAAAAAATATATATATATATTTTGTTGATTTCAGAGAGGAAGGGAGAGGAGAGATATTGATGGGCTCCCTCCTGCACACACTGGGGATCAAGCCCGAAACACAGGCATGTGCCCTGACTGAGAATCAAACCGTGACCTGCTTACTAGTAACAACTGAGCTATACTGGCTGGGCATGCAATTAATCTTTTAAAGCTGTTTCCTTTTGTAGTACAGTGGGGCCTTGACTTACGAGTGTCCCGACTAACGAGTTTTTCGAGATATGAGCCGTCTCTCCGCTGATTTTTTGCTTTGAGTTGCGAGCTAAAATTCGGGTTATGAGCCAGCTTCAGGTATCCCACCGCTAGTTGGCGCAGCGAACATCACAGTGAACCCCACAACATCAGCCCAGCATCACGTGTCTCACTCGTTCACTTTATGATTTGACATACGAGTAATTTGAGTTACGAGCTCCGTCACGGAACGAATTAAACTCGTAAGTCAAGGCCCCACTGTACTTGTTCCTGGGTACTGTTAAAGTTTAGGTTGAGAAAATACGTAAAGTAAAGCTATATTGAGCATCTATCACACGCACACACAAATGACAGGGTCAGACAGGATCAGTGGTTTCCAACCTTCTTCAAAGCTTCTTTTAGTATTTTCTCTCTGCAAGAGCCTCACTTTTGGCAAGATTTTGTCTCCTGTACAACCTACAGCAAGTAATTTCTCCCCTTTTATTAATTAAAGCCTCGTGTCACAGCCATTAGAGCTTGTGGTCATGAGGAGCAAGCCAGGTGACCGCCATATTGTTGGTGCGATTCCAGCCCAAAGCAGAGGCCAAGCTAGCTTACCTTTCACTTACTCTGTACTGTTTCTCTGGGTCCCTCTGGAACATTGACAAGAGCTCAAGGGACCCCTACTGCCCTCAGGGATCCTTCAGCCAGGGATGCCAGACTGGAACTCATGGAACTGGATGTTCTCCTTCGAGTCCCCTCCAGCCAAGAGCTGGAGCTGTTGTGTCAGGGAGATGTGAATGTCAAGCTGCCTGCCCACCCAGCTCTCCTCTGAACCATGGTGATTGTCCCCTCCCACCAATGAGAGAGAGACCCCTGTCCTCTTCTCTCCAGGAACAGGAGAGGGAGGGGACATGCTGTACCACCTGAACACTCAGAATTCCTGAGGGCTGTCATCAGTGAGGACACCACATTGATGCACATGTGGGCTTGCACAAAGGCTACGACATGAGTCGCACAAAACCCAAACTCCATTGGGGTGATGACATTTGAAATATGCCTTTTATCTTTTCCTTGGTGTCCCCGGGCCTTGCCTTTATGCAGCTAGTTAGGTTAATCTGCATTCCTTATGTCAGGAAACAACTGCTACAACAGAATGCAGAGTTCATTTTTAGCTTCTCAAGTCTAAAGGCCTAGCCTTCGGGGAGGAATGGGAAGAATTTCTGAGCAGATACAAATTTAGAAAACTGTGTAACAGGGGACCTGGGAGCCTGACTGGGGGGCAGCAGCCCCTGAAAATAAAGATTCTCCTCAGCCGTGTAGCTGGAGGGGATCAGCTAGGTCTCAGGGCCTGGAAAGCAGGAAGAGTTGTGCCCCTTTTCCTGGTGGAGTGCCAAGAAGTAACACAACCTCTGAAGGAACAGCTGTATGTTGCATTTGGGCACACAGGGCCTACCTAACGCGAGACCTTAAGAATTTAGGCCTGGGGGTGGGGAGCAATGGAGGGGGTAAGGACACATATGTAATACCTTAATCAATAATAAAAAAAAAGAATTTATGCCTGGCTGGCCTGGGAAAAGTGGGATAAAAATCTGAACATTGAGAGGGGGATGGGTTACACTTGAAGGGCAAGTCAGGAGGTCTTTTGGTCAGGGAGAAGCAACTCAACAGCAACCTGAGTGGGCTGATGACAAAACACCAGAACAGAACCCTTGTGGACCTATGCAACCTGAGTGCATTGAAAACAAAAGGCCAGAACAACACGGGCCATCTCAGTGGATGCTAGTGTGACGGGGTGACCACCAGATCAGACTACCTTTCCCATGCATTGGCATCTTAAAAGGAAGTGCCCTAGAATTCAACCAATTCCAAGAAAAGTGGTGGTAGTGGTATGTGTGTGTGTGTGTGTGGTTCTGATGAGGTAGTCCAAGGACAACACTTTGACAAAGACTGTGCTGGAATGGAATGCAATGACCTTGGGCTGCTAGTGCCCAAATGAACACTCCTATCAAATCTCCCTCAAGAAATAACAGCATCTTGCCGAAACCGGTTTGGCTTAGTGGATAGAGCGTCGGCCTGCGGACTGAAGGGTCCCGGGTTCGGTTCCGGTCAGGGGCATGTACCTGGGTTGCGCGCACATCCCCAGTGGGGGATGTGCAGGAGGCGGCTGATCGATGTTTCTCTCTCATCGATGTTTCTAGCTCTCTATCTCTCTCCCTTTCTCTCTGTAAAAAATCAATAAAATATATTTAAAAAAAAAAAAAAAAAGAAATAACAGCATCTTAAGGTGAAGGGCCCTGCCTTACTCAACTCAGACTGGATTTCAGTTTTGTGGTTCTTGACCACCTCCATCTACATATATAAAAGCCTAAGCCACTGTTTGACCGGTAGCTATGACATGCACTGACCACCATGGGGCAGACACTCAACGCATACGCATAGAAACATGGAACAGACTGATGAATCTCAGATTTGTGCACCGGTGGGGTCCCTTGACCTGGCCTGTGGGGATTGGGCCGAATCTGTGCACTAGGCCTCTGACATCCCCCAAGGGGTCCCAGATTGCGAGAGGGCACAGGTCAGGCTGTGGGACCTCACCGGTGCATGAATCCGTGCACTGGGCCTCTAGTTAGATTATAAGCCCCTCTCCTGAAAGGACCACATCTTACTGTCAATGTGTGCTCAGCATAAGGCCTGTCCCACAGAAGCTGCACTGAGGTTTGTTTGATGAAGACAAACTCTCTAGTGCAGTGTTTCTCAACCTTGGCTGCACATTAGAATCACCTGGGAATCTTTTTAAAATCCTGATTTCTGGGCCTCAGGAGTTTAAAAAGATTCCCAGGTGATTCTAATGTGCTGCCAAGGTTGTGAACCACTGCTCTAGTGCCAAGGGACAGAGTTGTTTACTGAGATGGTTGTTTGCATGTGGGAGGGCTGGTATGGTTGCAAAGCAGTGACAACAAAGACTTGGCTTCTAATTTCCAGAACCCCTTCTTCCCTGAAGACCCAAAGACTCCCAGAATTGGAACCTGATTTCGTGCTGTTGTGGGATGAGTTCCCACACTTGAGGGGAGGGCCCAGGATTACTCCAACTTCTCCACCTCAGGAAACAGCAATGAGACTAACAGTCCCCTCAGCAGGGAATCTGAACAGAAAAGCCACTTTCTATATAACCAGACTGAGGGACTCTCCTATCACAATTCTCAGACTTTGCTGACTATTAGTACTGTGTGAGAAACTCACAAAAATCCAATGCCCAGGCCATACCCGATACCAATGAAATCCGAATAGATGAAGGTGGGACAGGTGATTCCAATGTGCAGCCAAGTTTGAGACCCAGCACCCTAGGACACAGGACCAACTGGGAGCCCATATTCATCAGGAAAGCATTAGGCACACACTTGTTTTTGTCTAAGTTTAATTTTATGAGAAAAAAGACACAACTGCAAGAAAACTGGGGACACTTAGGGTGGCCGAGGTTGAGCACATTTAATAATCCTCACCGGGAGAGGGTTGAAAACAATTGGACAGATTCCCTGAATCAGTAAATCATCGACTCAGATGCAAATGGTCAAAAGGGGGTATTATCATCTACCCCAAGGCCACAGATAAACAGGATTGTGCATCCCAGGGTGAGTCTGGGAGGTGTAACCCTGTGAAAGGCAGCTGTGATAGGTGTTGTCTGCCAGATACCAGTTTCTGGGCTGGCCCTGCTCCCTTCCCAGGTTCTGGGCAGGGATGGATGGCAGGCAGTTGGCTCAGTAGAACTCTGGAGGAACCTGAGTGGTGACTAGGGCTTGCCGAAGGGACAGGCTCATTTGTGCTTTTTGGTGGGAAATTCCCGCCGGCCTTGCCCCAGGCTGCCAAAGTGGCGCACACGATGGATGATCTGCAGCTGCCGCTCAATGGTCTCGGTGATGTTCACGTCATCTGGGATGTGGACATAACGGACGTTTCGGCCTGTTACAAAGAGGTCATCCAGCTCAGCCTGACGCCCGTCACGGTCCGTGTAGGTGACGTTGGCTAGGCGGATGTTCATGAAAGCATCAACGTTGTCTATGCGTCCGTGGGCCACGCTCTCATCCCGCAGGTCCACAGTGGTCACCTGGCCCTGCAGGCCCTGCAGCAGGATGATCAGGCTGTTCTCGGAGATCGTCCGTTCCTTCATCGAGTGGCTCACCGCCATTTTCCCACACTGCTGGCTGCTCGAGGGAGGAGCACACAGATGGGAGCTTTAGCAGGCTAGGAGGGTGCAGTTGCCAACTCACCTCCATCAGGTTATATATAGTATAAAACCCCCAGCACAGATTTCCCCGTTTGCCCACCTCCCCGATTGGTGAGTCCAGAGCGCCCTTATGAGCCAGGTGCTTCATGGACACACCGCGGAGAATCCTCTCACCACCTTGCAAGCCAAGGATTACTTACATTCATTTTATAAACAAGGAAAATGTGGCCAGGAGAGGTTAAGTCACTTACCCAAGGTCAAACAGTTGATAAATGGAGGTGCTAGGATTCAAATCCATAGCTACCCTATTCCAAAACACGCCAGAGGTTCTGAACCCTCACCATAGCTTAGAATCACCCAGTGCGTTTTTACCTGGCCGCTACACCCCAGAGGTTCTGATTCATTTGGTCAGGGGTGGGACACTAGTATCCTATCTTTTAAAAGCTCCCCAGGTAATTCTAATGTGCACCCACATTTAAAAACCACTGCTCTAAGATGTAGTTTATACTCTTGCTATATTCAAAGTACGGTCCATGGACCCGCAGTTTCAGGATTACCCAGACAGTTGTTAGAAATGCAGAATCTCCAGTCTCTCCCAAGACCTTCTGACATGCATTTGAACATGAACCCTGGGTGAAATCATCAATAGTTCTCAAACATCAGAATCACCTGGAGGACTTGTTCAAACATAATCCTGAGCCCCACTCCCAATTTCTAGCTCAGAGGGTCTGAGGTGGGGCCCAAGAATGTGCATTTCTAAGCGGTTCTCAGGTCTACACAATGCAGCTGCCATATAAGTAGAAATTTGGCTCATTAATTTTAAAAAGGTAGCACATAAAGCCATAGGTTTTGAAGGCTGCGAAACCTAGGCTGGGATCTCTACTCCACCCACAAACTCTGTAAACCTAGGGCTGTTACTTAACCCTTCGAGTGCCGGGAAGCGCAATTGCGCTCCTCCTGCAGTGTCCGGTTCTAAGTCTGCTTTTATTTGTGATGATGATATTGCTAAATATGTCAATTCTTGCTGTGAAGATGACGATTTTGTGGAAGATATTGAATATGTAACTTCATTTACTTGTGATTCATAATTTTTTTCCTAAACTGCTGTAAAATCAGCAAAAATGCCTTGGCAATTTTAGAATAGTTCCTAGGATATTGGTTGGCACTCAAAGGGTTAATGTCTCTGAACACCTGTTTCCACATCTATTTTTTTGTTGCTGTTGCTAATCCTCACTCAAGGCTATTTTTCCATTGATCTTTTATTTTTAATTTTTATTTTTTTAAATATATTTTTATTGATTTCAGAGAGGAAGGGAGATGGAGAGATAGAAACATCAATGATGAGAATCATTGATTGGTTGCCTCCTGCACGCCCCCTACTGGGGGTTGAGCCCACAACCCAGGCAGGTGCCCTTGACTGGATGGAACCTGGGACCCTTCAGTCCGCAGGCCACTGAGCCAAACCAGCTAGGGCTCCATTGATCTTTTAGAGAGAGTGGTGGAGAGAAACATAGATATGAGAGGCACACATTGATTGGTTGCCTCCTGCAAGCGCCTTGACCCGGGAGGAGCCTGCAACCAAGGAAGTGCCCTTGACCAGAATCGAATCTGGGGTCCTTTGGTCCGCAGGCCGACGCTCTATGGACTGAGCCAAACCGGCTAGGGCTGTTTCCACATCTATTAAACCATAGGCTAAATGAGGCTAACAGAATCTCACCACATTGAATGGGCTTGCCCTTGCTTTCAACATGCCCTGATATTTTATTAATGTGCCTTTGCCTTCCTTATCCTTACATTCAGACTCTGAGTGGAAGGTGGTGGAACTTTAAGACCTCGCTCAGGATCCCGACAGGGCTGGACAGGGTGGCACTGTGCGGCAAGCCAGCCCACGCCGCAGAGGAGATGGGCTTGGAGCTGGGCGGAGAGGGGCTAGCATCCCACCAGCTTCGCCAGGAGCATGGCCAGGAGCATGCGCCCGAGCACACACGCCCGGGCTGCACAGTGACTGCAGTCAGGCATGGGCTTTAGGACGGGCTCTGCCGCTTTCCGGAAGGGAGACCTCTCCCAAGCCACTTAGCTTCAAGCCAGTTAGCTCACTGGTAAATGGGGATGGTGAAGAGCCTTTACTCACAGAGCCGTGGGAGTGGACTGGAGAGGAGCTCCGCTCCGCAAATCGGCAAGACGCTGCTTCCGCTGCTCCCCACGGCCCTCCGCGGTTCCGTATACCCTCCCCTCCGGCTCCGCCCCCGGGTTCCCCGGACGCACCTCGCGGGATTCTTTCCGTTTCCCGGTCCGCGTTCTAGCGGAAGCTAGCGGGCGCCTAGCTGGGCTGCCTTCCTCCGGCTGCAGGATTTAGAAACCATAGCAACAACCAGGCCGCTCTGGCTCCTGGGAGCATAGATAGCGTTCAGTGCGCAGGTCCGCGCCACCGCGGGCCGAGCTTGAACTACAATCCCCAGAATGCCCCGCGAACGCCGCGCGACTCGCGCTTTTGCAACCCCTGGCCTACCTCATTGGAAGGTCTCCTTCATTGCAGTCATTCATTCATTCATTCATTCATTCATTCATTCATTCATTCATTCATTCATTCATTCATTCATTCATTCATTCATTCATTCATTCAACTAATATTCAGTGAGCCATCACCCTGTGTAAGGCTCCTTCCAAGGCTCTGGACATAGCGGTGACCAAAGAGACAAGCTTCCTGATCTGTTGACCCTTAAATCTACTGGCAGGGGCAGGGAGGGAACATTATGATAAAAGTTCTTCAGAGCATTGAAATACGGTAATGAAACTAGGTGGCCTTTTATTGGATGGTCAGGGGTGTCCTAATAAGGTGACATCTGAACTGAGATGAATGACATAAAGTCAACCTTGTGAAAACTAGCAGAGGAGCATTGCAGAGGAAGCGGTTTGTGTGAAGACCTGGTGGAAATGAGCTTGCCAACTTGGAAAAACGGAAAGGCCAGTAAGACTGGGGAGAGTGATGTGACGAGATCACAGAGGAAGATGAGAGCCAGGTGTTCAGGACTTTGTAAGCCAAGGTAAGGAGTTTGGCTTTCTTGGTTAGGCATGTAGGTTCTGGAGGCAGTGCCAGGGTTCAAATGTGCTCTTTGCAAATGGACTTCAGGCAAGTTAATTATTCTCTCTGTGCCCCGCTTTCTTCATGTATTACTAGAAGTGCAAGGATAGGCTATCAAAGGGGAGTGACAAGATCTGATTTACATTTTTGAAAGGTCACTCTGTATAGCCTTGGAAAAGTTGCTTGTCTTCTCTCAGCCCCCACTTTATTAGAAAAGAAAAAACAATGTCGATTTCAGAGAATTGTAAGGTTTGAGTGGCCTTCATTAATGTGTGACAGCACCTGGCACAAAGGAGAAACTCAGTGAGTTAGGCCTGTTTGATTCCTTCATTCTCATACAGAAGCTTCACTATAAGCATGGAAGCTGGCTGCTGCAGAGAACGCTGAAAGCCAGCTTTGATCTACAAGAAATGCCTATCTTAACACTGGATGTTAATGAAGACGTTAAAGACAAACTGTCTGGTTGAAAAGGTCAAAGAATTTTTGAGCACTTGGTGATCTTTCTGAAGACTACAGGCAGCAAAATGATTCCAGATACTTCAGCTTTGTGTATCTTCCCAGCTCTATATTCATACAAGTCTCTTTAGAAAACTCAAGTTTTTAACCATTTTCGTTCCAAGAAAAAAAAAAACATTTTAAAAATTAATCTTATATATTCCCGGCCGGCGTGGCTCAGTGGTTGAGCCCCAACCTAGAAACCAGGAGATCATGGTTTGATTCCCAGTCAGGGCACATACCCGGGTTGCAGGCTCGATCCCCAGTGGGGGGCGTTCAGGAGGCAGCCGATCAATGAGTCTCTCTTATCATTGATGTTTCCATCTTTCTCTCCCTTTCCCTTACTCTTTGAAATCAATAAAATATATTTTAAAAAATAATAAAATCAGGGGGGTAGGGGAGGCAGGGGGAAGGTCAATGGGGAAAAAAAAAGGAGACATATGTACTACTATTGACTGAACAGCAGAATGACAGGCAGAACGACTGGTCGCTATGATGCGCACTGACCACCAGGGGCAGACGCCCAACGCAGGAGCTTCCCCCAGCCTGCAGGCCCCAGGCCAGCCAAGGCAGGTGCCAGAGGGCCCGTCCCCCCACCCCTTTGCCCCGCTGGTCGCCCTGCAGAAGGGAGGCTACCAGTGGTGGGGGGTGGGGCTGGCGAGCGTGCAGCACCAGGCTGTCCAAGACAGGTGTCAGCAGGGGCCTCCTGATTGCCCCGCTGGTCACCCCACAGATCAGCCCTGATAGCTGGCCAGGCCTAGGGACCCTACCTGTGCATGAATTTTGTGCACCAGGCCTCTAGTCTTATATAAAAGTTTATGACCAGTTACTTTCTTCTCCTTCTCCTTCTCCTTCTCCTTCTCCTTCTCCTTCTCCTTCTCCTTCTCCTTCTCCTTCTCCTTCTCCTTCTCTTCTCCTCTTCCTCCTCCTCCTCCTCTTCCTTCTCTTCCTCCTTCTGCCTTTTTGGTTACAAACAACAACAAACCAACCCAAAGGCATTTAATTATCTCTCATGGCAAGGAGTCTGGAGGTGGATGGTTCCAGAATCAGCATAGTGCCTAAACTATATCATAAAGGATCCTCCCTCCTTCTGTCTTTCCCCTCAGTTATCCTCCTCAGCAGGTTGGCTTTTCCTCCTGGTGCTTCTCATCTCATTGGTGACTGTTTTCTTGACTGGAAATGTAATGTTACATAGTAAATGGTAATGCGCCCTGTGTGAATTAGTGCAAAATGCTGATCATGGAGTTTATGGAATCTCTAGGAAAAAATAAGTTTTAAGTACTTTTACCAGTGCCTCCCCTTCCATCTTAATTTGTGTGGAAGATAAGACCAAATTTAGCATTTTATCACTTCATTGACATTAAATGACACATTTAATGAGAGCAGGCTAGACTTTGTTCCTGGTTTGTAGTGGCATAGATTTTAGAGAGAGAGGAAGAGAAAAGGGTAGAGAGATAGAAACATCAATTCACTGCCTCCTGTTGGCTGCTTCCTGTGTGCCTCCTTCTGGGAATGGAGCCCAATACTCAGGCATGTTCCCTGACTGAGAATTGAATTGTGACCTCCTGGTTCATAGGTCGATGCTCAACCCCTGAGCCACGCTGGCTGGTTGGGCCGCTGTTTTTAAGTCACACATATCTACTTTGAGAACTTTGTGATTATTCTTTGCTTCATAGTTTACTTTGCTTTCTGTAGGGTTATACTTTAAGATTTTTACCTCCCCCCAAGAGAATTTATTACTTTTTCTTTAATATATTTTTATTGATTTCAGAGAAGAAGGGAGAGGGAGAGAGAGATAGAAACATCAATTATGAGAGAGAATCATTGATCGGCTGCCTCCTGCACACTCTCTACTGGGGATTGAACCCGAAACCCAGGCATGTGCCCTTGACTGGAATCGAACCTGGGACCCTTCAGTCCGCAGGCCAGTGCTCTATCCCCTGAGCCAAACCAGCTAGGGCTAAGAGAAATTATTGATAAAAATGATCTTGCTTTATATGCTATATATCTTGAAGGCATTATCATTTAAAAATATATATTAGAAAATATATTAATGAAAAAGACAAAAGGGTAAAATAGTTGTAATTTTAAAAAAATCTGCATGGATTCATTTTAGTTCTATATATCATGAAATATTTTTTTCAAGTTTGTTTGGGGAAAAAAGTGCTGAAGCACATATGAGACTCTAGCTGTCTTCTACCGTATGACAGACATTGCAAAATATATAAAACAATGTCACTTCTCACTCAATTTATTTTGGAGAAAATATTACTACTTTTAGTATAAAATGTGAAAATGAGTTTCTTATTGTTATTTTAAACTGAATGAAGGTTTTTGGAGTTTCCAATATTTTTTAAGATTACAAAGGGTTTCTGACACGGAAAAGTTTGAGAACTGCTGCTTTAGTCTGAGGATTTTCATACACTTTCTCACCTCACTGTAATCTGGCTTCTGTTCCCAAGATTCCACTAATATCTCTGGCAAAGATTACTAATGACTCTGTGTTCATGAAACTGTTAGTTCCTTTCTTAGGTCTTATTTCCATGATCCTCCCCATTGCTTGATCATATTGCCCATCCTCCTCCTTGATTTTTTTTTTCCTGCGGCATTATATCATCTCCCCTCCCCCATGTTTCCTGATGGTTTCTTCTCCATTTCTTTCTCTTTACCCCACCCCCTTCCACTTCATTCTCCTGCTCCCAAATGTGCTTTCTCTGGGGCTGTATTCCCAGCCCAGATGTCTTCATGGTCACATATATCTCCATGCCATTAACTACTACATGCTGAGTCCCTTGTCTAGGTCTCCAGCCCAGACTGCTCCACTGAGCTCCATTTTCCATCTGTCTGCTACTTATTCCCATATGTCTTACTGGTAATTGAGACTCAGCATGTCCACAGGCAAATTCACCAAGTCCTTCCCAAATGACTTGCTGCTCTGGATTTTTTTTTATCTTTATAATTGCTACCACCATTTTTCAGCTACCCACATTGGGCACCTTGAATAAACTTGGCAACTTCTATCAGCTTTTGATTCTCCCACACCTGTTAGAGCCATTGAACCCTGCAGATTCTTTGAAGCCTGTCTCCCACCCTTCACCTGCCTTTTTATTCTGACTGCCACCATTCTAGTTGAGACCCTTTTTTTCCTCATTTGATCATTATAAAAACCATCTTACTGGCCTTTGTGTCTCATGATCCTTTCCCAACAGATTCAAAATACATTGGTATGATCTTATCATTTACCAGCCGGCAGAATAAAGCTTCTGATACTGACATGTAAGGATTTCCATGATTTGATTCCACCCTACCTTGCAGCTGGATCTGCTTCAGGTTCTCTGCACAAACTCTCCAACCAGTGTTTTTCTTTTTTCTTTTCTTTTTTTTTTTTTTTTTAAATATATTTCATTGACTTTTTACAGAGAGGAAGGGAGAGAGATAGAGTTAGAAACATCGATGAGAGAGAAACATCGATCAGCTGCCTCCTGCACATCTCCCACTGGGGATA